CTTCCTTCCTTCCTTCCTTCCCTCCCTCCTTCCTTCCTTCCTTCCCTTCCACAGTTTCCTTGGCTAGAACCTCTAATACAATATTTCATAGGCATCATGAGGATGAGCCTTTGTCTTGTTCATGATCTTAGGGGAAACCTTTCCGTTTTTCACTGTTAGATATGATGTTAACTGTGGAACTTCATAAATTCTCTTTTCAAAGTGATCTTGCCTTCACTTTTCCTTTGTTTTTATTTCTTTGTCTTCACTTTTAAAGGATGTTTTTGCTGTATATAAAATTCTAAGCTGGCTTTTTAAAGGAGGTCCTGAACTCCATCCTTTGCAATATGTACACACATACAAAAGAAAGTAAAATAATTTCAGCTTCTAAAATAACTTTCCTAGTGCTCCCTTCCACAGCACACTGAGCTACGCGCTCAGCTCTGTTTACAATTTTGAGAAAGGGTTTCACTAAGTTGCCAGGCTGGACTGGAACCTGTGACCCTCCTGTCTCAGCCTCTCAGCGTGCTGGGATTGCAGGAAGGTGCCCCAGGCCTGGCTGGTAAAGCTGTTGGAATTCGTGGCTTAATGTCTTGTTACTTTAGAAAAATGCCTGACCAGTATCTGCACTTTTTCCTCTTCTCCTTCTCGGCCCTAGAGGTGTGCACACTGTATCTTTTCACAGTGTCTGACATGTGAACATTTTCCGCTGCATACTTCCATCCATTGCTTTCTGTTGACCAAAAGTCCAGCTCACTAACCCTCTCTCTGGTTTTTCAAGTATGCTGCTAATTGCATCTCTTCAGTTCTTAGAAATTACAGTTGGTACGGTTTTCTGTCTTAGGATTTCTAGTTTTTAAACAGATTCCATATTTCTGGTAGAATTCTTAAACATACCAAACGTAGTTATTTTAAACCATGTTTCTAAGGTCATTTTCTGAATCATCTGTGTTTATTTTTATAGTTTTTTTCCTTTTCTTGGTTGTTCATTGTTTGATACAGTTTCCTAGTGTGTCTTATAATTTTAATTGAATGTGGGACATTGTGTCTGAAAAACACAGAAGCTTTGGAGAATGCTAACTTCTTCCAGTAGATTTTAATTTTCTTCTAAAAGACCCACAGCATGTGAATAGATATCCTTGATACAATCGAGTCTGAACTCTTCCCAGACTTTCCTTTACTCCCAAGGTATAGGCTTTTCTGAATGACTGGGTACTCACCAGGACCCATATTTCCTACCAGACCCTGAACCCCAATTCTTCCTTTGTAACACTGCCAAAATCTCTTAGTGTTTTGGCCCAGTTATTGGCATGCTGCTCGTTCTCGTTGACTTGACAAATGACTGGAAGAGAAATTGCTTGCAAAGTTTCAACGATCTGCCTTCTTCCAGGGACTGGACAGCTTGGTGGTTGTCTCCCCCAGTTTTTATTTCCTATTCAAGAGTTGTTCTCAGTGAGAGGATTCGTCTGTACCAGATATTCCAAAAGTGGAAGAGTCTTCTCCCCACGTGCTGTTACAAAACTAGTATTTAAAATGTTATGAGGTAACTTGATCATTAAGAAGACATATATAATGACATAACTGTAGCCAGGGATGATGGTGGATACCTCTAATCCCCACACTGTGGGAGGCTGAGGCAAGAGGATCACAAGTTATACCTATCCTGGGCAACTTACTAATGCTGTCTCAAATTAATAATAATAATAACAATATAATACCTGTGATAATTTCACCAAATTGTTGAGATCCTGGATACCCTTTTTTCTTACACTCTCTTTTTCCTACACTGCTCAAAACTTGGATGTTTACCGTCTCCTCGAATTTGTTTGTGCTTTTATGATGCATGCACGTTCTCTTCAGTGATACCCACGCTCGCTTTCTGTGGTCTGAAATGTGATGCGCACGGTGATATCACGCACGCCCTCCCCTCTGACTTGCTGGGTTTTCTCTCCGCTCTGTCTCAGTGACAGTCGCTCGCTTTGTTGTGTGCCTCGGCCGATGAGTCATGTTCACCCTGAGCCATGACATCACGATTTACGCTTTCCATCCTCCTGATGATGGCTATGGAGTGTGTTTCCAGTCTTCCTCTACCAAAACCAGTGCTGTGCGAACACCTCCGCGGACACTCTGGTACGCCTGCGGAGAGTCTCTAGCAGTGCACGTAGGAGTGACGCGGCGGGTCTCGGGAAGGCGCTTATTTGCATTTATTAGATCATACCAAAGCATTTTCCGGGCTACTTGTACTAATTTACATTCCACCGGCTGTGAATGTGAGCCTCCGTTAGATCATATCCTCAGCTCCATGCGAGACAGTCAGACTTCTATTTTTTGCCAATCTGATAATATTTAAAAGCTCTGTCACTGTGGTTTTTATTTGCATGCCTGTCTTTACTGTGGAGTTAAGCACTCTGCGTTCCCAACACAGCACTTACTCTGGTCTGATTTCCTAACCCCAAGCTTTTCCACTTCCCCTTGACCTCCTGAAATATGGCCAACTTTTAGTCCGGGTTACTACATCCCCAGAAATCGCTCCTTTGTGCTGTTATCCATAAGGCTATGGGGCTTTCCACTGGGGAACGCGGTTTGCGCTCACAACAGCCTGCAGCGGAGACCGGTGACCCTCATTCTTTTTCTGAGGAGAGAACTAAGGAGGAGAGGAGGTAGGTAACTTGCTGAAAGACACAGAGCTGGGATCTGGCAGATTGCAGGTGGGTGCCCTCTGCTCCTCCTCCATAGAAGCCTGAAGAGGCTCAGAGCTCTCACAGTGAGAGGCCCTCGGGTCCCCCTCTGTCTTCCCTGCAGAGGACACGCTGGGGTCTGGTCTGCCTGAGGGGATGGGCTGCTGTGGCCCTCCAGGCCAGCTTGAGTGAGATGAGCCATCGAGGGCTGGATTTGGGACTGGCAGAGGCCGAGGACAGAAGGATGGACAAGACCTTGTCACTCAAGGCTGCTGTTTCCCGGAGCCTGCTGAGCTGGGGTTCAGATTCTAGGCTCTTTTCTCCACTCAATGCAATTGAGCAACATGGAGTTTTGGGGGCTCATGTAAATGAAAGTCCAGATGTGGGACCCCTCAGCAGAGTGATTAGGGTTAGGGTTAGACTTTTACACAAAGACAAACTGAGTTTCCAGCTCCTACAAGTCCTAGACAGGTAGCAGGGTCTTGCTAGAATGCCTGCCTTTTACTTTCTTGAATTTAGCTTTTAAGTTTCCTTGTACTTGTTGTATAGCTTAAGAAATTCTTGAGTTGCGTTTACTGTGTGCCGGGCACTGCTCTAAATGCTTTGCAAATATGACTGATTTAGTTCTCCCAGGGCCCTGTGAGCGCGGTGCAGTTATAATTATCCCCACTTTGCAGACGACGACCTGGGACCCAGGAAGCTTAGGTCGCTGCCCGTGGCCACTCGGTCTGCCCACGGCACTGAGGGGGTTTGAGCGGTCTGTGCTTCAGCCATCGTGGCACATGGTGCCTCTCTGTTTCATCCTAGTTATCTGTCATCTGGGAGTGACAGCAAATTTTCTTTTGAAACATGTTTGTTGGAGTGAAAATAGAAGGCAAGATAAAAATAAATAGTAAGTAGATCAAGGCACCAGTGACAACCCTAAAGGTCATTACACGAGTGGTGAGAGTTCTGGAACATTCCAGGGTGGATTCAGGGATAGAGCAGGCAGGCCAGGAAAGCTGAGTTTAAAGGATGACAGGGCAATAGTTATTCAAGGAGAGAATTCATGCAAAGAAGAAGGCACCAAAGGCTGCAGGGTGCTGGAGAGTCATTCAAGGCAGCTGGCCAGTAATAGCGGGAGTCTTGGGTCCTAGTCTGGTACTTTGCAGTTGAGGAAGCATTGTCATATCTGCTCTCCCACTGCCTATTCTTAGCTGCCAGGTGCAATAGACAGCTTTGTTCCCATTTCAGAGGTGGTAACTGAAGTCAGCAACTAATCTGAGAAAGCTATTCATGCACCAAGATCCACTGGCTTCAGATTCTAGGCTCTTTTCTCCACTCCTCAATATCAGGTATCTTTGGTAGCAAGCAATAGAAATATAATTGAATGCAGTTGAGCAATATGGCATTTCGGGGGCTCATGTAAATGAAAGTCCAGATGTGGGTATTAAGTATGGCTGGATCCAGGTCCTCAAATGCTTCCATGGGCATCCTTCGTCTCCATATCTCAGGATTTCCATCCTTTGCAAACAGGCTTTATCTAACCACAATGGTTAGCAGATATCCCCAAGAGGGGAAAATTCCATGATTGTCTCATTGATTGGCCTAACCCTGAGTCATTCCCTATGTGACAAGTGGTCAATGGATTTACCAGGATGGGTTAGGTGTCCATTCTATGGATGGAGGGTGGAGTCAGCTGCACTCAACCACAGAGATGGGATCCCAGTTTGAGGAGCACTTCAGAAGAAAGGGGAAGGGATGTCAGGTGGACACAAGCAGCAGGTGCCTCCTCAGCATCCCCAGGAAGTCTAGGGTGAGGATCTGGGAGGGGAGGAAAAGGAGCCTAAATTTTGGCAGCATGGGTTGTGCTTCTTCCTGTGGTTGCAATGGAGCCAACTGGGGGTGACACAGACAGAGCTATGCTAGACCCTGGGCTGGGATGCGGTCGCAGAGGTGGATGTGCTAGTGAGGGGCGGACATGACCCCAGCACTCGTGGTCAGAGGTCACTTCTAGGGTTAATAACAGGCTGTCTTAGTCTATGTTCTGCCGCCATAACAAAGTCCCTGAGGTCTGATAGTTTATAAAGTTTATTTGGCTCACAGTTCTGGAAGCCTGGAAGTCCTATCGCGTTCATCCAAGACTGCTCTTCCCAGAGAGGCTCACTCAGGAGTCCAGACAGTCTTGTTCCACGTTGGCTAGAATTGGGGGTCCAGGGGGCTATCCTGGGCTTTGAGATAGAGTAAAACACTTCATTATTGGGCTAACCCTATCTTAAGTAGTCAACAGCAGTGTCCCTTATTGATGAGACTTGGATTTGTTATTTAGTAAAAAGACAATTTGCTGAGACAATGTCTTCACAGATGTTTTATGGCACAGAGGACTCAGATTGCTGGTTGGTGGATGCTACTTTCCAAATCAGTCCTTCTTTCCTCCCTCCGTCCCTCCCATCCATATAATTGTGGCAGGTGAGTGCATGTGTCAGATTGAAGATACCACAGGGTTAGCAAGGTCAGCAGAATAGCAGTCCCTTCCCTCTTGAGTCTCTCACTGTGACTGCTAAGCAGGACAGAGGCACGTGGGAGAGTGAGGAGAGATTCAGGAGGAACCAGACATTTCTGAGGGGCAGGAAGCCTTGGGGTTATCCACAGTCTCTCAGACCTTGTTTCTTTGAAGCAAATGCTAGAATCTGCAGCAGGTCCTCCAGAGAGGGTTGGAGTGGAAAGGAGGCTGCCCAGGCCCCCGGCCACAGGCTGGGCTCACCCTCCTGCTGGGCTGTTCTTTCTTGCAGGCTCCTGCAGGCTTGGGAATTCAGCATGCAACCGCGTGGCTGGGTCGCTGCTTTGCTCCTGCTGATGCTCCAGGGTGGTAAGTAGCTGCCACATGATGTGTGCATGTGCGTGTGTGTGTACGTGTGTGTGTGTGTGTGTGTGTGTGTGTGTGTGTGTGTGTGTGTGTGTTCTTCCCCCAACAAAGCTGAACATGGGTTGGGCTAGAGGTACCCGCCCAAACCCTGTGACACCTGCCATCTCACTTAACACTGGTACAGCTCCTACACCCAATTCTCCATTAACAAGAACCCAACCAAAGCGCTCTATTGACCAGAAGCGGGGTGCAGGAGTCTCAAGTGACCCAGCTCATGGGCTTGGATCTCCAAGTCTCACACTAGGGAGATGAGTGATGTCGCTGCTCTTGGCTCTGGCTGGCTCCCCACCCTCAGGGGCACAAATCCTGGCTTTGTACTAACCTCTGTTTCTCCATACAAAATTACCCTCCTTGGAGATGTTTCTCAGCATTCCCTGGATGCTCAGCAGGCTCTGATGCTCCCCTGAGATAGAGAGAGGGAGACAAACATGAAAGACCCAGAGGCCTGAAAGCCAGGGGTGCAGCAGTCAGAGGAAACAGGGTCAGAGATGAGAGCCAGGCAAGCTGGGAGTCCCACTGAGCGGGAAGTCCAGGCCTGAGGCCAGGAGGCCTTCCTGGAAGAGGTGGCCACAGTGCCTGGACATGCAAAGTCCTCCAGGGAGAGCGGAACTCAGCCCCTGCTTTGCTGAGTCAGAGGCATTTGCTCTGGTTTGCACCAAAAGACCCAGAGCCCCAAATAGCTCCTGCAGGAAACAGATGTCGTGTTTTTATTTTCCTTTTGAGTGGCAATGACCTCCCACTCCCCAGCTTAGGTTTGGGAAGCCTCTGGAGCACCCACCCCTGCTCCATGCTCTGTGAGAGCAAATCCAAGCCCCTGCCACTCTGGGTCCCCATGTTTTCCTCCCCTCCTGCCAGCTCTACCACATCGGCATTGCAGTGGTGCCCAGTTTTCCAGTGAGGAAATTGAGTTTCCAACCTAAGCAAGTCCCTCCCTCTGATCTGTGTCATGTTCTGGTGATTGCCACAAACAGCAATGTGTGACCCATTTAAATGCCTCCCAGCTCTGAGGGCACCCATATCTCCAGTTAATGAGTAGAAATAGGAGCAACTGTTTTCGGTGCCTTGTCCTCTGTCACCAAGCCGGGGACAGAACAACCACTTTGACACCTCTTGGCTTCCTGTATGCTTCCACAGCCCCAGCCTGGGTGGCCCTGGGTCTGCCCTGGCCACCATGAGGGCACTGACTGGCTTTTCACTTCCTGATCCTTCAGGCCATCGCCAGGGCTGCTCCTCCCTCCTCTGGGGGCAAAGACTGTCCTTGGGGAACCTGAGCCAGCTGAGAAAGGCAGCCTTTCTCCCAGCCACTGGAGCCCTAGGGGACCAATGGAGATGACACAGCCATGAGGTGAGGCTGCAAGTCAGTCCTCCATCCTCCACCAGGTGTCCAGACTAGTGACCCTGAGCTGCACTGGGGGCTCCTGTGTGCTTCCCCAAACAAGCCACCCCTGCATCAAGACTCACTTCTACAAGCCAGACTGTGGCAGAACTGCTCACTGGGAACCAAGTTGGAAAGATTCTGAGGCCACGGTGGGGGAGAGCGGCAATCCATTAGCCATGTCTGCCTTGCACTTGGATGTGGAGAACTGGCCCAGACGTGTCTGGCTTTCCTGGGAGAGAATCTCAGGGCCCAGATGCGGAGAAGCAGGAGGGACAGTTGAACCCCAGAGCCTTGAGCTCTCCTCCCCACCGTGGGATGCTCTGAGCCACAGTCCTCCTGGTTCTGAATTCAGGTTCAGACCAAAAGTGTTTCCAGGGAGGAACGTGCCTCACCTTATGGGTTGTCACATGTCAGGGAAAATTAGGAAAGAGCCACTGACCAGGGGAAACGTCAGTTAAGGTATATGGCACAGGCCTGCACTCTGAAAGGCTGAGGCAGGGAGGTGGGAGCCTCCCCTGGCCAACTTGGTGAGACTCTGTCTCAGAATTTTAGAAAGAGCTGAGCTGCAGCTCAGTGTGAAGGTCCTGAATCCAACCATTGATATGAGAGGGGGGGAAAAGACAGGGAAAGGGGTGAGTTTTAGTACATAGCAGAGAAGAAATGGTTGGTTTTACAAAACAGAACTAAACATTTAAGCTAAAAATTTAAGCTTTATTTTGTCAAGCATTGAATAGAATTTAAATAACAGTTACATTTGTTTTAGAACAGAGTGAGAGGGTCGGGCGCGTGTTAACTCTTCCCACTGGGTCACCTGACAGGGCGTGACTTGGACGACTTCTTGGTGGCAGTGTGTCAGGGTGGCAGCAGGTTGATACAGACATCTCTGCAGATCTCTTCAGGTCCTCTTTGGTTTTCTCATGCTTTACCCCTTTAGAAAGCACTTTCGGCCAGCCAGGGTCAGCATCCTGCCAAGCCATCTGCCACCAGCCAGGCCTCCTCCCTGTGCAGGCCAGTGGGGGCGTGTGGTCACTGTCACACTTGGAAGCCTCGTGGAGTCCTGGCCCTCTCGTGGGATGTGTAGTGTGTGCAAGCTCAGTGCTCCCTGCATCTGGGCAGTTCAGGCCGTGCTACCCTGAGGGCTGCACTGACGGGAAGCCATATCCAGGGCCCCAGAGAGGACACAGAGATGGGACAGATTCCTTATTCTACTGCATGGAAGCAGAGCCTGGGCTGCGTGACCAGCCTTGAAGCAGTGGAACTTACAATCCCCTGTGTCCCAGATCTCATCTTGGGGGCCCCCGGGTCCCTATATTCAGCCCGGCCCTAGGACACCAGGGCTCCAGGGAGCCCCTCGCTAGATCCTTCTCTCCCTGCCCTCCAGGCTGGGGCTGCCCAGCCCTCGACTGCTACACCGATTACCTCCGGAGCATCACCTGCGTGGTGGAGATGCGGACCCTCCGCTCCAGCACACTCTCTATTACCTGGTAAGTGGCTGGGCCTCACCGGGAAACTGCAAGCTCTGGACCCACAGTACCGTGCGCTCTGCAGGGAGCTTAACAACAGGCATGTGGCTGTCCCTTCCGGGCTCCCTCAGGGATCTCACTCCAGGAAGAGCTCTGTGAGCTGGGCCACTCTGCCCACCTGACCGCCAGCCACTGCCACTCACAGGACTTGGCAGGCACACGCAATGGAGGCCACAGGGCTGCTCTCCCCAGCCCCAAAAAGGCCTGGACAGCCAGATTCCCACAGGACCTGCCAAGCACTTACAGGTTCCAGGCCCCTCCAGAGGAGCATGCTGAGCATGGTCAGAGAGGGCTCAGGTAGCCAGTGAGTGGTGGAGATGCGATTACACCTAGGCTGCCAGAGACCAAAACCCACAGGTCCTCATTAGCTCCCCTGCAGCCCAGGATAAAAAGGGCTACCACCTCCTGCTCTGTTATCACTCCAAACACATTTATTATGCTCCTCTGACCAGGGGCCCTGTGGGGCTCACACCTGCAAAGTCCCAGATATCTTGGAAGGACATGGCACAGAGGGGTGGCAGCTGGGAGACAGACAAAGAACAAACACTGGAATATGGGGTGGGAAGGATGGGGAGGGTCTCTCCAGCCAAGGCTGCCAGGTCTAGCCTTTCTGGATAAGAAATGGCCACTGAGCTGCGAAAGAACAGGGCAGGCAGGTGGATGGCATATGCAAAGGCCCTGTGGGTGAGTTTGAGGAATAGCCTTCAGCTGGAGAGTAAACCAGGGGAAATAACAAGCAAAGAAGGCAAGAGGAAGTCAATAGCTGACTTCACTGTGTGGCCATAAATAATAGCTGCTGGAGGGTTTCAGGCAAGGAGGTGACAGGGAGTTTTTCAAAGTCCTCACTGACTGAGAGAAAGATAGATTTCAGGGAAAGTGACCAAGGCTGGGATACTATCACAAAGCCATTACAGTAGTCCAGGCTGGCTGCTTGGAAAGATTTTATTCAGTAAAATTTCTTTTCCAGCAAATTTTACACATTATCCATATTGGTCCTGGAGGGTGATTACAAGCTCCTATATATACTTCAATACCCATCATTTCTACACAGTGGGAGTTAAAAGATCAAAGCATTTCCCCCAACCCCATCCCACCAGCTTCCCTTAAGTTTACACAGAGCAGGGAATGAAATTGTTTTGTATAATAGCACAGGCTCTCATGGGTTTTCAGGAGATGCTGAACAGAAAGGAGATCCAAAATGCTTAGATTCCATCTTGAAAATCAACAATCAAACAGGGACATAGCCAGGCTTGGTCCAAGTGATAGTGGCCCAAATTTCCAAAGTTGAGAGCTGCTGTCCTGGTGGAGGTAATGAGTTCCTGGTCCCCAGGAAGTATGTAAGCTAGGGTTGGTCATGATCCCTCAGGAAAGCTGCAGGGAAGGGGATGGTTGGGCCAGGTGACCCCACCCCAGTCCTCCCAACCCTGAGCACTGAGCCCTACTGGCCTCCAGCTGTGACCGCATCTCTGTCTCCCAAGGCAAGACCCGTATGTGGAACTGCAGGACGAGGTCACCTTCTGCAGCCTGCACAGGTCCAGCCACAATGCCACACACGCCACGCACACGTGCCACATGGACGTGTACTCCTTCATGGCTGATGACAGCTTTACCGTCAACGTGACAGACGAGTCTGGTGGCTACTCCCGGGAGTGCGGCTCCTTCCAGGTGGCTAGCAGAAGTGAGTGCCCCACGGCCCATCTCCCCTGCCTGTCCGGCCCTCCCTGCCCCTGAGTTTGCTCTTTAGATGCGCTAGTTTTTACTATAGTGTGATGGGCCTTAACACCTCAGAAGGCAGCAGAGAATGAGAAGGAGCTGGGCTGGGGACCCCGCCCAGGTGTGGCCCAGCTCCTGCCTGCTTCTGTGATCTCAGTCAATGCTTGCTCACCTCTGGTGTGTCGCCCTGGGTCTCGGAGAGGGGACAGCTGAAGGGTGACCAGAGACAACTTCCCAAATTTCCTTCCCTTCACGAGCTCCAGTGAACCTCGAAACTTCTTTCCAGGCTGGAGGCGGGAAGGGGCTGGAGGTAGCTTTGGCTTGTGTGTGTGTCTGTGTCTGCATATGTGTCTGGGTGTGTGCATGTGTGTGCGCTTGTGCATCTGTGTGTCTGTCAGTCTCAGTGTATGTCTGTCTGAGTGTGTCTGGGTTTGTCCATGTGTCTTGTGTTTCTGTGAGTGTGGGACTGTGTGTGTCTCTGGGCGAGTGTCTGTGTGTCTGCATATGTGTGTGGATGATGCGTGACTACGTGGTGTGCACACACTTGCACCTTCGAATCGGCCCCCACACATACACAGGCGCTGCTCTCAGACTCCCAGGGCCCGGACAGGGTGTGGCCAGCCATCTGAGATTCACACTTTGCAGAGTGAGCATCACACTTCAGCAGGCACGAGTGAGGCTTCCCACACACCCAGGCACACGTAGATGCACCCCCACCCAGGTGCAGGACTCGGTGTCTCCCCAGCTCACACACCAGGCTGCTAAAGGCTTCCCTCCACAGACCCTTGCAGATGGCTCTCTGTGCACCTGCCACCTGTGGCACACTCAGCTCACAAGCACAGATGCCTCCTTACTCACAGCCACGAGGGCCAGGCCTGGCAAGTCCCCTGACACACGTGCTCTGCCTCTCCGAGTGTGCAGGCAGCTGCAGCCCGCTCCTGCAGCACTGGCCTCCCTGGGCAGGGAAGCTCAGAGCCCAGAAGGGGCTGCCACTACCCTCACAGGATAGGCGCCTCTGAGTATCATTTTTTTGCTCTCTGCTGTGGTTTTTTCTTCTCCTCCTGACGGGAGCCTCCCTAGCATATGTGTCTTCTGACCCTCAGGTGCCTCTGCCACCTGCAGGGTGGTTCTCAATGTGCCTGGCTTCCTCTGAGAGCCTCATCACCAAGCCTAGGCCACTCAGGAACCTAGAGAAGAGGGCTTCCCAGGATGTGGAGCTCCCCTCACAGACGGAGGATGCCAAGCACTCACACTCACCCTGCAGCCACAGTCTGAGTGCCCAGAGTGTTCCAGAATCACAAGCAGCCTCACGGTTCTCTGTGTCTCTCTGGAGCATTCTGAGGAGCCCTGCGCACCAGGCTCTGTGCTAGGAGCTGGAGCACAGGTTGGACCAGGAGGACAAAGCCTCTGCCCCGAGGACTGAAGTCCAGAGCGGGAGGCAGGCAGATCACAAGCAAGCTGCAGGGGGAAACAAGGGGATGGTAAATGGAGGGAAGCCTGTGATGGGCAGAGGCGGGATCTTTCACCAACAGAACCCGTCACTTCCTCCCCTGGGAGCTACCATGTATGTAGCTTGAGAAATTTGAAGTGCCAAGAGATAAGAACTTGGACTCTTTACAGAAGGGGAGGTTAAGCCACACCACATGCTGTGACTCTCCCCAGTCCATCAAGCAAATGTGGAGGGGAAACTGGTAACCCCATGACTTTGACCACCATCTGGGTCACGGTTACCTGGAAAGCTTGGGGTGGTGGCCCCAAGCTCAGTCACACACAAGTCAGGAGTATCTAAGCCCCGGGGGCAGTCAAGCCACAGTCAAGGGACACTGCAGGGCATGTGGTCAGTGTGTCCAGCATCAGGGAGGCAGCCCTCCGTCAGAGGCAGTCCCGTCACTGGCATGAAGAGCCAGGGAGTCGGATCACAACTGAGCCAGTGCATCGCTTAGAAAGCTGGGGTGCTGATGGCCCGCAGGGCTGGGGTGCACTTTGTTGCCTCCCCAGATCTTCCTCACATGGAGCTCGGTCTCACCCTGTTTCTTTGGTCTGGGTTTTCCTTCTCAGTCAAGCCGGCTCCTCCTTTCAATGTGACTGTGACCTTCTCGGGACACTATAACATCTCTTGGCGCTCGGATTACTATGAAGAGCCCGTCTCCTACGCACTGCGGGGCAAGCTGCGGTATGAGCTGCAGTACAGGAACCGGGCGGACCCCTTGGCGCTGGTGAGCAGTAAGAGCAGGCTTGGGGCAGGAGTACCCAGGTGTGCGGGCAGTGCCTGAGGCTTGGAAGGGGCGCGTGGCAGCCCCAGGACCCTTGCAGATGTAAGCGCTCCCTCTCTACTCTCCCTGAGCAGGAAACACCTTCATGGCTACTCTCTTTAGTCCCATTTCCTCCCCAAGAAGTTTCTAGAACCATCAGTGGAGAGTTACAGTCATCAAGAGAGTTCTGTCAAGGGCCAATTGTCCCAGATTGGAGGCTCCAGCAGTGTCCTTTGCTTAGAGGGCCCATGGCCCGAGAGACTGGAATGGCCCCCAGCCAGAGCAGTCACAGCTGAAGGGCCCTGGAATTGTCTACTCTCACTGCCCCAGTTGAAGATTTTCATAAAAGCCATTGCTGAGAATATCCTCAGGGACGACTCCCAAAGATATCCATTGATAAGATGTGGCTAATGGAAACTTCTAGAAAAGGCCACTCTAGAGACGGTCACACTGACATAGATCACTACATCACCAGTTGTGGAGGAACCCCATAGAGGTCCACCCTCTGGAGTGTCCCAGCCTGTGGCCACTCCTGGGACACCCTCTGTCCCTGCAAGGAGGGTCTATTGCTGGGACCAGGGTGAGTGGTTGGGGTTGTGTCACAGGTGGGCCAAGGGCTGCCCCGGCCTGATTGCTGTGGAGGAGAAGGGGCACCCTGCCACTCTGAAAGGGCTGCAAGGGGGGGTCTGCTGAGAGCAGGGGCCAGCCTGGGTGACCTGTGCCTTCTTTCTATCATGGCAGAGTCCAGTGACTAAGTTGATCTCCGTGGATTCCAGAAGTGTTTCCTTTCTCCCCGGGGAGTTCCGCAAAAACTCAAGCTACGAACTGCAGGTGCGGGCAGGACCTCAGCCGGGTTCAGCCTTTTCGGGAACCTGGAGCGAGTGGAGTGACCCTGTCATCTTTCAGACCCAGCCTGAGGGTAGGTGTGAAGCAGAGTGGGCTTCCCATTCTGGTGCCCGACCCTGTCCTGGCCCAGTTGCCCCAGAGGAGCCTGAGATCTGCAGCATGGCTCCTCCCCAGAGCTTGGAGCCCTGCCGCTTGCAGTACAGGTGCGGGCCATGCCTTCTTAACCAGCTTTTTACCCTGCTAACTGGAATGTGAGACTCAGATTTTCCATTTCACAGAGGAGAAACCTGAGTCGCAAACAGATGTACTAGTCAGCCTTCCATTACTGTGCTAAAATTCCTGAAACAATCAGCTTAGCAAAGGAGAAGGGTAATTTTGGCTTCTGGTTTCAGAGGTCTCAGTGCATGGTCTCTTGGCCCAGTGCGTCATGGCAGGAATGTGTGATGCAGGCCATCTGTTCCTCCTGTGGCATTTGGGAAGCAAAGAGGAGAGAAGGAATCAAGGTGCCACTGTCCCCTTAGAGGACAGGTCCCAATGCTCTACTTCCTGCACCTTCCCACCCCATGGTTCCACCATGTTTCCATAGCCCTGCAGGCTGGGGACCAGCCTTTAACATGTGACCCCTTTGGGGATCACTTCAGATCCAAGTGACAGCAGGTGGCAGTGGGATCTGAACCCAGATCCTCTTTACCTGAAGTACCTGCAGTGTCCCCCCCTGCTTACTCCATATGCATCCCCGTTGGCTCTGGACGGGGGCTCTGTTGGACCCACTATTTGCTCTCTCCGCAGAGTCCAAGGCAGGCTGGGACACCCGCCTGCTGCTCCTGCTCCTGTCGCTGGTTGTCTTGGTTCCTCCGGCCTTCGTCTTTGCGGGCCTAAAGATCCGCCTGCCTTGGAGGTGAGGCCAGGGGACCAGGGAAGCAAAGAAAGGGCCTTCCCAGGATGGGAGACATGACAGTCATGGTGTCAGTGATGATAGTGGTGACGAATAACCACCTCATGTTTACTGGCTGTAGACCACCTCACAGCAGCCCTAGAAGCGTGGTACATTTCACAAACAGGGAAACCAAAGCCCAGAGCAGTCGGGGCGTTTGTCCAGGGTCATAGGGAGGAGCTGGGGATGAAACCTTGTGCTCTTCACGGAGACCTCAGTTGTGATCTCCTCAGGGCTCAGAGCTTTTTAAACTCTGAGCCCTGAGAGGCACCAGGGGACTCCAGGTAGGGATGAGGGGGCTGGTGTAATTATCTACCCACCTCACCCACTTGTCAGAGAGAGAGTCCGCTGATCTGTTTATGTGGTGGGTCTGTGCCTGCCCTGGCTAGGGGGACGGCCAGCCGCTTTTTGCTGACCCCTCCCTAACGGGCAGAGCTCTGCAGCTCACTCTGCACTGCTGTTCATGCAGATGCTAAGCTCAGAGATGGAGAATGAGAATGGGAAGGGGAACGATTAAGATGCCAGAAATAGGTAGCTGCTCCAGCTGAGCAGAGTGCCATGCTGCATGCTAGGTGCTGGTATCAGGTTCTCCCCAGCCCTGCAGAGTCCATCTCTGGATCAGAGGAGGAAGTTGCACACTGTGGGCTGCAGACCTTAATCCTGAGGCATCTGAGAGACAGTTGCTGCTCCCATTTTCTGGATGTGGTTACTGAGGCCCAGCCTAGGCTGTGTCCTGCTAGGTGTTGAGCATCTGTAGGATAAAGGAGACAGCGTCAAAGTGAGAGGTGTGTACCCTTGGCTGTGGTCAGAGACTGACCAGACCCCTTTCCCCCTAGACTGTGGAAGGAGGTGTGGGCACCTGTGCCCAGCCCAGAGCGGTTCTTCCAGCCCTTGTATGAGAGCCACAGAGGAGATTTCAAGGTAGGTGCCTTGCCCTCTCTGGGAGGCCTATCTCACCCTTGCCTCAGTTTCCCCATCTGCAAAGTGTAGGCAGTAAAGCCTGTGTTGCAGAACTGACATTAGGCTTTAATGCCTCCCAGCTACACTGCAGGGCAGGGGTGGAGTGGCCAGGGCAGGGGAGGGAGGGAGTTCTGCAGAGGATCTGGATGCCTGCAGGATACACAAGCACTTGCCAAGTGCAAGATCAAGGCCACCCGCCACCGCCAAAGGGAGGGCTCTCTGCCCCTCGCTGCAGAGCAGAGGGCGCCCAAGGAGAGGATGTGGTGACAGGTGGGAGGGGTAACCTTCAGCCTTCAGCTCCGGCCTGCTGCTGCAGGAAGTCAGCCCAGCCTGAGCTCCAGCCCTGTGCCTTGCCCTCCTCCAGCCCCCGAGCTCCCCACGCAGAGGAGACTGACACTCAGACAGGGACACTGTCTTTTGCAGGGCAGGGAGGGACCTGCCCTTTCCTCTTTCTGGAAGCTCAAATGTCATGTTGATTTTCTGTCAATTTCACCCTGGTACCTGTGTCCAGGCCCTTGTAGGAGCCGTCTACAGGAATCACTTAAACCTCGCTGCACCCTCGGGGGTGGGTCCACTGCATAGATGAGAAAAGCCAGTCAGAGAGGGGGAAAGGATCACACTCGAAGCCATGCAGCTGAGAAATGACCCCACATCAGGGTGGTGGCCCGTCATGGCTCTGAGCTGAGCACTCTTCCTGAGACTCCCCTCCCCAGGGAGGGCTGCCTTTGGATGGGATGGAGACCCTGGAGTCCTAGGCAGGATTCCAGCGGGTGAGGAGGGAGGGGCCTCAGAGGGAAAGGGCCACCACTTCCATGCAGTGGCACCCAAAAGCCCTTCCAAATGGCTTGCTGTTGACTTTCCCCACTCATTTTTTCCATTGGTAAAATTTATCCTTCACTATTGGAGCTGAGTGTCCACTCTCCTGGTACAGACAGACAGGAGAGAACATTAGGCTCTGAGAGCCATCAGGCAGGAAGGAACGCAGGGTGCAGGGCAGGGCTCTGAGACAGACCCAGGGCCTCCCACCTGTGTGTGCCGAGGCTTGGGACTCTCGCCCTGCTCCCAGCAGACACCGGGCCACGGGGACACAGGTTATGTGGGCAGACAGATTGGAGCAGCAACTCCCCAACTCGGGGGACACTGAGGCCCAGAGTGGGGAAGGGACAATGACCGGGAGCTGGCAGTGCGGCATCATGCTCCTGATTCTTTCCGTGACTTTCTCTTCTTCCCCATGTCTCGCTGCTTCTTTCTTCCTGGCTGTCCTGTCTCTGCTGCTTTTGACTCTGTGTCTCTATGTTGTGTGTACCCCAAACTCAGCCTGATCCCGCATGACTCTGTTTCTTTCTCTCTCACAGAAGTGGGTGAGCGCCCCCTTTACTGCCTCCAGCCTGCAGCTGGGACCCTGGAGCCCGGCAGCACCCTCCATTCTGGAGGTGATTGACGGCCACTCATCACGGAATCTGGCCAAGGGGCTGGAGGCCCTGGGGCTGACGGGGTCTACAGACCTGCTGGAGTCCGATGGTGCCCCTGAGCCCGAGTCTTCCTCCATGGCCGGCAGTCCGCACGGCTCAGACTACAGCGAGGAGAAGGACCGGCCCTATGGCCTCCTGTCTATCCACACAGTGACAGTGGCGGATGTAGAGCAACTGTGCACCTGGCCTTGCAGCTGTGAGGAGGACGGCTACCCAGCCTTGAACCTGGACACTGGCCTGGAGCCTGGTCCCAGCCCAGAGCACCTTCTGTTGGACACCGGGACCACAGTTCTGTCCTGTGGCTGCGTCTCAGCAGGGGACCCTCGGCTGGGAGGGCCACTGGGCAGCCTGCTGCACAAGCTAAAGCTACCTCCTACAGATGAGGAGGACTGGGCTTCGGAGCCACCCTGGGGTGGGGTGTCACCTGGGGGGGTCTCCGAGAGTGAGGCGGGCTCACCCCCCGCTGGCCTGGACATGGACACATTTGATAGCGGCTTTGCAGGCTCGGACTGCGGCAGCCCAGTGGAGTGTGACTTTGCCAGCCCCAAGGACGAGGATCCACCCCGGAGCTACCTCCGCCAGTGGGTGATCATGGAGCCTCTGCCTGAGGGACCTGAGCCCCAGGCCAGCTAGAGAAGTGGCCAGGCTGTCTAGGACTGGCCGTGCCACTGGGCCAGGACAAACCCATTGGCAGGGTCCAGAGACAGGGCCAGCTAGATGGTGACAGGAAGAGGCCTGCTGCTGGGCCTCCTGCTGGGCTTTGGTCCAATGTTTACAGTGCTCATGTCTGTGTGTTTGTGTGAAGGTTGGTGTGCCATGCACACCATGGCTGTGGTGTGTGTCAGCTGCCACACCTGTGTCTGTTCCTGTGCCAGGAGTGTGGGCAGCTGGGGTGCCTGTGGGGCGCAGATGCCAGCCCCTCTTTGCCTGCTGCAGGCTGAGGGGGACTGTGCTGGGATCAGGTGCTGTCTGGGACAGGTGTCACGCCCAGTCCCTCAGGTCCCAACGCTAGGAGCCCAAGAAATCCAGGCTGCTCCAGTCACCTCTCAGGAAGGAGAAAGGACAGTGTGAGTCCACAGTGACCCTGGGGGGTGACCAGGATGTAGGTCTGAATGCTGACTCTGAGCCTTCTCGCCTGTGAAGCCCAGAGTGAGGGTTTTCCTGTCTGGACAGTGAGGCAGACATGACCCGCCTTAGAGGGCCATGCACAACTTCCTGCCGCCTGTGGCCTGTGGCCAGGCAGGCTGGCGCCGGGGGGTGGGGGGTAGAAGCCACCATGCTGGCAGCCTGGTGTCAGGGTCAGCCCCCGGCACAGGTGCACAGGGGGTTTCCAGGCTGAAAGTCACTCAGCCTTGCCTCAGAAACAGCCCCCATTAACCAAGATTTCTTTTTCTGACTTCTGCTGCCCACTTTTTTTCTTCTTTTTAAAAATCCCCTTACCCCAGAACTATTTATCAAGTACCAATTAATTATATGCCAGGCATTATGCAGGTAGCATGGCACCCAAAGGACCCTGCCCTGTAGTACTCGGAGTGGGGTAGGGGACACAGAGACACAGGCAGGAGTGATACCCTGTGTGCCCCGTGTGCCACCGCACCCTGCTCTCCCTCCCCTGCTCAGTCCTGGCACCTTATTTATTACCCTGAGGAGTCAGGGGAAGCCAAGCTGCTTGCCAGTGATTTCTCAGCGATCCTGTTGAAATGTGAATTAAGAAGCTAAACACCCCATTGCCCATCAGTGCCAGGCGTTACATAAAGCGCCTGGTTTCAGAAGCTAGGTTGCTTTGCTTCTAAGGATGCCCCTAGAGGTGGCTTGGGTTTTTCAGGACCAGGTAGGGGTAAGGCCTGAGGGTGTGATTCCCTTCAGGAGCCTGAGGGAGCGCCTGTCCCAGGCTGCGCTCAGCGGGTTTCTGGAGAAAGATCTGACACAGAAGGAAGGTCTGTGTCTGCTTCGGGAGTATCTCAGGGAGGTCACTGAGGGAGAGCACAAGCACTCTCAGTGCCAGCATGAGGCTGAAAGTTCTAGAACACCACTGGGTCTAATAGCAAGCTGTCGACAGGTGTTGGGTGTGGGGCTTAGATGGGCACTCGAGGGGAAACCACAGCTCCTGCACATGCATACTGCCCCCCTCCCCTCCGGATACCCTCGAGACAGCGTGGGGGGAAGGTGTGCAGTGGCTTTCACACCTCTTGGATGCAGCAAGGTGCAGGCGCCGCCTGAGCCACAGCTCCCCAGGGAGCGCTCAGCTCTGCAGCCGTGGAGTGGGAGACTGGGGCCACCTGGGGAGGACGTGCTCCGCCCGGCCTCATCTCTGATGCAGATGCTGCTGGATCGCTCACGTGTGAGTGTGGTGCAAAAGGGCGACGAGAGCAGGTCTCGTGGGCAGGCTGGGTTCCTGCGTGGAGGCAGCGTGGAGGGTGGAAGGCTGCATGGGTGCAGAAGGACAGTCAGAGGCCTGAAGGAAGACAGGTTGGATGCAGAGACAGAGAAATAGGTGCTGGAAACTGCCAAGAGACCTAGCACGAGTCCTACCAGGGCAGTGACTTTATTTAGTTCACTGCTTTATCCCCAGTCTGGCATACGGTTGACACGCAATAAAGCCCCATCTGTAGCGTTTGTGTATTTTCCTGGTGTAAAGACCTCTACCATGACTAGTTCCAAGCTACTAACTCAGTGACTGCACAGAGCTGTGCACAGTGACCTGTCCTGCCAGGAACACCCAGTGCTGGCAACCAGAGCAGTCCACTCTCCTGGCCACACGACAAGTCCAGGAGAAACACAACCCAAGCTGCTTCATGCTCTCTTTCTACTGGACTTGCTGGGCTGTAAGGAGGGACTGACAGTTGCTGGGGGCCACCAGGAGGGAGCAGCTTGTTTGAGACGAAGACAACATGCTACGAAAGCAGGACTTAGAGATGGAAGTCTTTTTATGTCTCTCAAGCTCCTGGATCCAACTATACCTGAAACCCACATGCCTCTGGGACTTTTGAGCCACTCGAGTATGGAAGTCATTATGCTCTTCACTAAATAATTCCCACTGTGGTCTTCTAGGCATGTGCCAGAACTTTACCTCCTGGCTCCTTGTGGTCAGAGGAGGCCATAGTACCAGACTTGCCAATGAACTATGAGCAGCAGTGATCAGTCTCACTTCTGGACAGGGCATCTGACCAACAGTTGCAACAGCCCCTAGAGAATTTCCCTGTTGTGGTGACTGGTGGTGATTGAGATGGGCCTTAGTGTGAAGAGATATGGATCAGGGCTCCCAGACCACCTGGACGGACTTGTTCTGTGAGCAACAAATTAGTCCTTTGCCACTTGCAACTGCTGAGATGGGACTATTGGTCAGCACCACACCCCAGAGTGTCCTGACTTGGCCAATCAGATGATGCAGGCCATTTTTGTGCTAACACTGGCTTTCAGCAGGCTCCTGTCACTGCAGCAGCACTGTCCTAGTATCATCCCTTCTGTCCTAAGGGGCCACATCAGGGGCTGAGGGGCTGAGAGTGTAGCTCAGCAGTCAAGCACTTGCCTAACACGTGTAAGGCACTGGGCTCCATCCTTTGACTGAAAGTAAAATTCCAAGCTCCTGCACTTGTCCAAATGGTCACAGCAAGGTGCTCACTGTCTCAGAGCCTCAGTTTCCTCTTTTGTAAAGGGGCAAGAATGAGCCTCCTGGCTTTCTCAGGATGAAAGAAAGGGCAGGAACAGGAAGAGACACCTCCACCCTCACAGGTCCTCAGGTGTGGGTTTGCTGTCCCAGCCCAGCTATGAGATTCTAGAAGGTGCAATGCTCACACTCTCTTCAGCCAGGATTAGACCTGACTGAGTGGTTTCTGCAGGGTCCCAGATGGGGACACTGCCTGGGGCTCCCGGGGTGCTCTGATGGAACAGAGGCAGAGGATGCAGCTCAGATCACGCTGGAAGGGGGGCCCAGGGAGTCCCCCACCTGCACTCCACTTGCTGTACTCGTGGGCATCCCCTTCACAGGGCAAACCTGCCTGTCCCTGCCTGTCCTGACTGCCTGTGACCAGGGCCAGGGTGCAGCCAAGCCCTTCACAGCCCATCCAACCCTGGACGCACCACTAACAGCTGAGATAAGACTGCCAGGGCGATGGGCAGTGAGCTGTGTCTTCCCTTGTGAGTGCTGGAATTCTGCAGAGGGCGGAGAGACAAGAAGCAAGGGAACCATGACGCAGGAAAGTGGGCCACCTCTCAGCACAGTGAGAACAGGAGTTGGATCTTGGTCCAACTGTCACCTTCTCAGGGCTGGCCCCTTCCTCAAACTGCAGCTAACCTGACATTATTCTTCCTATAACACTTATTATACCCTACTAACATATCTCAGGTGGGTGTCGTGTTGCACATCTGCAATCCCAGTATTCTGAGAGGCTGAGGCAGGAGGATTCCAAGCTCAGCCCCAAGCTGGGCAACTTAGTAAGACCCTATCTCAGAATAAAAAGTGAAAAAAGCAGCAGAGAGAGAACTCGGTACAAGGATCCTAGGTCCAATCCCCAGTACTACAAGAAACAAAAACGGAATAAACAAAGTAATTTTAAAACTCCATCTCTTTATCTCTTACATATGCATAGTATTTACTGTGTGTACATCACCAGAGCAGAACCTGCAGTCGCTACTGCGTCTAAGAGCTGAGAAGGGTGCCTGGCTCTGAGCAGGGGCTCAGAATATGAAGTCAGCGAATGAATGAATCAGCCGGTTAAGGCAGGGCAGGACTGAAGCAGTGGGCAGAGAGGAGGGGCCGTCTGCCGGACCCACACAGGTGCAGAACAGGGCACGGAGACGGACGGGACCATGAACTCCCTGACAACCGTAAATGGGCAAGAGCTCTCCCCAGCTCAGGCCACGGGCCCATGAGGGCTCTTCCCATGCTACGGTAACAATCTGAGTGCTCTTTCCCATCCTATCGCTCCAGAGTGGTGTCAAGGCGACACCAGGGGCAGGAATGCCTGCGGACCTGTGTGCTGGCCTCTGACTGTGTGACTTCTTTTCATCTCCTTTGGCATCTGTTTCCTGATATATCAATGAGCATACCGAGGGCACCTGCGTCTAGGGGCTGCTGTGAGACCAAGTTCCCATGTGTAAAGCGCCCAGCTGGTGGCTGGCACCTTGCAAGTGCTCAGGAAGTGTTGCTATTATTGTGTTATCATTTCTGTAGATAAGCCACCTCCACCCCAGCCAGGTTTTACCTCTCAGAGGAACAAACTGTTGACACACAATCTTCAGGAAAGGTGCTTGGGCATCTGCTGCCCCCTGCTGGCAAGTACTGGAACTGGTAGGCACTGGCTGAAGGCCATGCCCTCCCTCTATGGCTGTGGCTGTCCTGGGAAGCTACGTGGTAGATTATGGGGGATGGAGGGTGAGCGGGAGAGACCCTATTATAATCCTCACAATAACCTCGTGATGACCACATTACGTTTCTCTAATTCAGTCAGAGGAAAGCTGGCTTCAGCCCTTGGGGTGGAAGGGCTCGCCTTGGATCTTGGGCAGATGTATACACCCCATGCATACGCACAGCCATGGGGTGAAAACCCCTGGCAGTACAATCAGCAGGGGCCTTGGAGAACAAGGGTGGGCAAGGAGCTCAGAGGACATGCGGCCACACAGCAGGGACCTCGCCTAGGCCTCAGTGGAATGAGGCTGCCAGGAGGCGCAGGGGCTGTGTAGCAAGAGAACAGGACAGAGATGAGCATGAAGGAAGACAGGTGTGGCGCGGGGAGCCTCATGAGGGCGGCCCACGCAGCAAGGTGGGGGCCAGGAAGCAGAGTGCGTGCGCACCAAGGAGCAAAAGCAAATGAACGCAGGCCTCAGCACGGGGAGCTGCCCACCGGCCTCACAGACTGATCTACACTTGTGGGTACAGGTGTGCAAGGATGTTGGGGACAGGAGAGTGAGCTACACTTGCAGTACCTTTCATGCACAAACGACATCACCGTTCTGCACCCCCAGGGGGTGCAGAGATGCGTGCAGATGTGAAGTCAGGCTGGTCCCGAAGGAGGCAGCCAGGGCTCCAGCCACAGCTGTAAGATTTTACATGTATAAGAACATGAGCTTGTACACTTCTCTCAGGAAAGAGATTTTAAAATGAGGACAGGGGACCTGGGGCCATGAAGCCAAGGCCGTCTGGGTTCTGCTCCTTCCGGCCCCTGCTGGGGGGAGTGACAGGCCGGGCGTGGGCTGAGAAGGCACCAGCACTGCCCTCATTTTTGCCCCTCTCGGGTTTTAGCCAGTAGTTAGCGCTTAGTGTTTTTGCTCTAAATCTGGAGCGCTTCACAGCCTGGGTTTACTTCTTCAGGCGCGTCCCCTGACACTTCACCCAGCCTTGTCCTTGCTTCTGCTCCCAGCTTGGGCCTTAAGGTGGCTCTCTCCCACTGGCCTGCACCATGCTGCTGGACACCTTGGTTCACAGCTCAGAAGGACAGAGCCTCGGCCTCAGACGGGCAGGGCTGGGGGAGTGGGTTGCTGGGTGGACAGAAAATTAACACCCGTAGTTTGAGTCCAAACGCTGGGTCCCAAGCCCACCCTTCCTCTTCTCCCTACAGACGTAATGAGCATCTGTGTGGCTGTCTCAGATTACATGTTATTTTTTACCTCATGTCAAAAAAACCCCACAGAACACTATTTTTTTATGCGTGTATGATAAAGTGCACGAAGCGCTGGGCTTTGCCCGCTTCAGTGCTGTCTGGCCCAGAGTGATCAGGGTCTGAGCAGCACCGACTGTCCACACAGATGGCAAGTGCTCTGCGGTGACACCTTTCTATCTTTCAAGTCAGAGTCTAAGTTTGCTTAAAGGTGAAAGCAACACATTTTCAAAATGTAACTAAACACAATTCACCCATTGTCAGCTCTAGAGAACTTCAAGGGACTATGTCCCTCCCGCAGGCCTGGTGGGATACCGGGCACTGCTTCAGAGGGGACAGTCCTGGGGACAGGTGTGGGGGTCCCCTGGGGCCAAGGCGGTGGGACAGGGCTGCCCACACCTCCCGTTCTGCAGGCTGGCATTCTTCACAGCCACTTCCCCTTCCCCTGCTCTCCTAGGCACGGCCAGGCCCAGCTGTTCCTGGACCACTACAGAAAACTAGCAAAACTAAAAGCATCTGACTTGACTTCACTTTAATTAAAAAATAAATAAATACATGCCAGGGGGACTTGTTTATAAATGAGGAAGGAGGCTAAAGGAAAAAAACAAAACAGAACCGAGATCTACAGGATCCTCCCTTTTGTGGGCAGGGCATCAGCAGTCAGAGCTGAGGGGCAGGACCGGCCCAGGCCCAGGGCCGAGGTGCATGGCCTGGAGGGACACAGGCTCTGCGGGGCCTCCTGCGATGTTTTTCCACGAGACCCTCACTCTTAGTGGCCCTTGGCAGCCAGCCACAGTGGCTGAGTCCAGGATGTATAACAGGTCAGGGCTCTGCCCACCTGCCTCAGGTGGCAACAGTGAGGTCCAGGAAGGCTGGGTAACTGTGACGCAGCTCCGAGAATGTGGGGGAACAAGCCCTCTGGAGCCCGAGGTGCTCACCTGACCCTGCGTTCAGAGGCTATGGCAGCTCCACTGCATGAGCACAGGACACAGGTCCAGACAAGGAGCAGCCCCTAGGGAGCAAGCGCACCCGAGGGCAGAGGGGACCCAAAGTGCTGGCAGCTGCTGTTGTGCATCCCCGCTGGCTGGGCAGGAGGGACCAGCTGTCAGTGTGATGAGGCTGGCTCCCACGCAGCCTGGCGGAGCCACAGAGCAGAGCAGTGTGCCCTTTTCCCAGTGTTCCAGGACAGCGGGGGAACGCGCGAGGCCTGGTTCCAGCCAGTGCACCATCCCTCTTGTAGGAGCTGGGCACAGAACGCCTTCTAGGGGCACCGGTGGGATATGTGTCCATGGGATGGCAGGCACCAGCCTACAAGTGGATCCACTTGTTCCAGTTGACCTTGGGCGGGAAGACACAGCCCAGGCGGATGGTGCAGTCCAGTGTGGGCTCGTAGAAGACTGCAGTGCTGTCACGCAGGTGGGATGCAGGTGCCTCAGACCTGGGATTTGCTGCCACAGGTTTGGAGAAGAGCGAGACAGTAGTGGGCTTGCTGAGGATGCGCTTCTGGATGCAGCCAAGAGACTCCAGGCCCTGAGGACACAGCAGGGACACAGCTGCAAGAGTAGTGCTCACTGATGTGTTCAGGGACAGGGTCTTAAGTGTTTGTGGGACACTCTTGGGCACGGCAGGGGCAGGACGGGTGACAGTGGACAGCACTGTGTAGCCCGCAGCTTCCAGTGTACCACGCTTGCTGCAGGACAGGTGTACCAACGGTTGGGTTGTAGTGGCTGTCCACAGACAGAGGGTGTTGGGCCTTCCCTGCTGGAAGCTCAGGAAGTTTCCTGACCTGTCAAGGAGCCAGGACACTGGGCAGTCACCAGCTGGGATGGATGCAGCTGCCCTGGGAAGGAGCGGGCACATGGTCCCAGCTTTCCCTGCTGCCGTGAGGGGGCTCCTGAGGGAGTGTGAGCGGGTACTCCTGAGCAAGTGGCAGGAATGAGAGCCCGGGAACACTGCAGTTTCAGCTGGAGCGTGCCTGGGGCAGGGATGGGGAGGCAGGGTGTGGGGCAGCAAAGAGGACGGAGAGCCAGACCCCTGCTGAGAGCTGGCGGGAGCTGAGGCAGGACACCTGGGGGGACCTGGAGGGACAGGCCCCGGAGCTGCTGTCCCCTTCCACCCCCAGTACCTGGTCTGCAGGCCCCGTACCTGGAGCAGCTCGAGCACAGCGACAGGCTGCAGGACCCCCTGGTAGTGCTGCAGCAGGCTGCTCTCCGAGATACCAGGCTTGCTCATGACGTGGTACAGCATGGCCTCCATCATGCCCTTGCACACTGGTGTGTTCAGGTCTCCATCCACGCCACGCCACGGGCGGCCGATGAAGCAGATGTTTTCACAGTCCCTGCAGGTGTGAGGGGACAACTCAGTCATGGACAAGACACTGAGACTCGCAGAGGTCACCAGGCTAGGGACAGTCTGTCTTCTGCTCTCTGGCTTCCCCCTACCCCATCAAAACACAGGCCACAACTGCTGGGCCATGACGTGGGTACCTGCTCAGACACAGCTAATCAAAGCCACAAGGAGCCAATGATCCCGGATCAGTCCCCAGGGGCAGGAGAAGGACAAGTCAGGTCTCTTCCCTCCCCTCTGGCAAGCTCACGGAGACCTTATTCAAGGGCCTGGCAACTGGGCTGCGGGGCGGGGGACTGCACATACTGCCCTCTGAACAGTGAAACCGAGATGGACCAGCTGCACAGGAAGGAACTGGCTTCATGCAAGCTGGACACAAAGCTGAGAGCCAGGGCTGGGCCCAGGGAAGGCCACATCTGGGTCCTGGGAGCTGGGACAGGAGGAACATGACCCTGACAAGCTAAGGACAATGCACACAGCCATGGAGGTCTGAGGAAGCAGCCCTCCTGCTGGTGCAAGTTCCCGGGGAGAGGCTCCCCCAGACAGTGGCTCACGCTCTCGGTTTATCTAGTCACACACTGGCAGTTTAACCTTGGGCAAGGGCAGCCCCTCTCCTCACTGTGAAATGGGGAGGCCAGCTCGTTTCAGGGAGGGCCACAGGTACATGTGGGAGGGAAGTTCGTGGCCAGGGCCACCTGGACATGCCACATTGGGTACCTCTGACCTCGCTCACTGCAACCCCCAGGATACCTGGTAAGAACCACGACACAGGGCACATCACCAAGGCCTGCAGCTGGGGCCAATGCCTGTGGAATCACTCACACCAGGCTGCCTGCGTTGGAATCCTGAGACAAACCCCCTGTGCTCTGACCCTGCCTGCCCAGGTAGGGACCAGAACCTGTGCTCACCTTTCGAGGGGCGCTGGGGAGACACCACTGGCCCCAGAAGCGTCGATGAGCCCTGAGAAGAAGGAAGGGGCTTAGAACCTGGGAGGCCACTTTGCTCTACCTCATCTACAAGCACCCAGGAGGACATAGCAGCAATGGGAAGAGCTGCAGGCCAAACCTAGGGCTGGAGCTGGGGTTGGCAACACCTGACAGCATGAAGGTAGGCGAGGAGCCCTTGTGCCAGGGGCAGCCAATGAGCCACTTATTTTCTATCCAGAAATTCTGGCCACAGGCTGTAGTGTATGAAACCCCTAGGCAAAAGCAGCCCAAGAGAAGCAGAGACGCACTGGGCCCAGTGGAAAGCCACTGTGGCCCACAGACAAGGTGCTGTCCGGGAGCCTGCAGGTCTCTATCACCTCCTGCTCACACTAGAATCCCAGGCCTCCCATCGGTGGCAGGTGCAAAGGCCTCTGCCCTCTGCAGGCTGGCTGCTCTCCAGGCTTGACCTGCTCAAGCCACTGGGGGTCAGTGGCAGTTCCTAGTCTCAGGGGCCAAGCTGGGCCGCTCAGACTGGAGGACAGAGAATGGGTGGTTGGGGAGTCAAGGCTGGTACCTCTGGGGTCCTCTGAGCCTTCTGGAAACTGGGCCTGACGGCTCAGCTGGGTTGGGCTGGGGGAGCTAGGTCCACCGACAACCTCTTGGCCTTCCTGCTCAGCACCCCCTGCACATGGGTCTTCAGAAACGGGGGGTGGGGCCAAAGCCTGGATTTCTGCTCCCTCTTCTGCCTCGAGCCTGGGGCTGGGGGCCAAGCGAATATCCTGGAGCATGGGCCTCTTTGCAGGGGGCTTCGGGGTACATTCAGTGTCAGTGTCGCTGCTGTGGCTGGCCCAGCGTGCCCGTTTCCTGGCACTCTGGGGGCTGTGAGAAGGTGGAGCTGGCTGCTCAGGTGCGCTGCTCTCACTGGCAGGTTCCTCAGGAAGTCTGGCCTGGGAGTCTTCCTTCTGAGCACTGGTGTCCTCCTCTGGGTCTTTCAGCCGCACTGAATGCAGTAGCCAGGGCCGTGCAAAGGCCATGGCCACCAGCCGGACCGTGTTGCTGCCGACCTCCAGCACCTGGTTCCATGCCAAGAGGTCCTAGGAAAAGCAGAACAGTCTGTCTGGGAACAGGATCATGGGGACCACTCAATGAGTGATATCTAGAAATGTCAGGGTCCTTGGCAGGCAGCAACCCAGTTCCATAGGTCAGGGCCTGATTCCCATCCCTGGGGCTGCTGCCAGACACAAGGCCCCACAGCAGGCTCCTTCCCTGTCTGGGAATGGTGCAGCTACTTATAAAACAAGTGTGCTTCAAGGAGGGACAGTCACATCCCCAAAGCTGGAGACTTCACAAGTCTCTTCTGTCTGCCATGCTCTCCCACAGAAGCTGACACCCCAAGTTCTTCCAACAAAGTGGTCACTACTCCCACGCAGGTCTGAGTGACTAGGCGGGGGAAAAAGGGGCAGTGGGAGCTGCCTGGCCCATCACCCCCTGACTGTCAGTGAGATCTGGCCCCTGGGCTCTGTCGACACAGCCTTGGGGAAATCCTCATCCCTCTGTGGGCTCCGGTTATCTTCCAGGGCAATGTGGCAGTATTTCCTGCACTCGTGAAAGCTGGTCAGGTAAACACAAATGTTGCCTCCGTTCCAACTCTGAGGAGTGGACACAGCTGGTATCCTTCAGCAAACCCATCTGTCCCCTGGGTCTTCCAGTCCTTGGAGGATGGAGGGCCAAGGCCTCTGTCCCACATACAAACTGCAAGGATCACACTAGAACATGGCTATCACTAAAACATGGCTATCCCTGACCCAAATCCTACTGCTCAGTTGCTGCTGAGAATGAACAGGACATCTTAGGCACAAGGGGCCCACCTGTCACAACAGGTTCAAGGTCTAAGGAACCTGAGGGACCAGGCAGGGACCTTGAGGAGGCCTGGGAGAGTCACGGAGGGCTCAGCCTGTCCTGGGCAGACAAAGCTGCTCCAGACTCATCTGACTCATAACACTCAGGAAAGGCTAAATTTTAGGTACAACAGTCTCATCTTGCAATGCTGACATTAATTCATTCTTTAACAGAAACTCACTACCAAAAACCCCAGACTGAAACCTGCAGTGAGTGGTGAGCCAGGCTGTCCTGTGGCACAGCTCACCTGGATGTAGTCTTGGAATGTCCTGGTGCCTGCTGTCTTGTCCAAGGCTGAGAACTGTCTGCTCAGCTTCTCCTTGTCAATCCCAAAGGAGCCTTCGGAGACCACTGCCTGCCAGATCTCCTGGGAGGCAGACATGTCTTCCGGGCTATACCCCGAGAGCGCCCCCAGGTGGGCAAACTCCTCCAAGCCAAGCAGGTTTGCTGGGGGCTCTATCAGCCTGGTGAAGGAGTCCGGGAGGCAGGAGGTTCCCACTGTCAGCTCTTGCAGAGAAGGGTCTGCGAAGACCAGGCAGAAGAAAGATTAGAATCAGCCCAACAGAAACACTGCCCTAAACACAGGCTTTCACGATCCTGAGGCAGGCCCCTCCAGCACGAGCTGGCAGCTGCCCAAACAGTCATGAGGACCGCAGCTCCTGGACTGGACACCTGCCCAGCACGGGCCTGCTTGAGACACAGTGTAGGGCACAGAGGCGGGGTGGGGCTGAGCTGTTAACGCCCACACTCTGGGGAGGCCGTGAATCTGGCTGCCAGAGGCCCACTCCTTTCTCGAGGTTCTGTCTGCTCCTGGGACCATGGCAGCCATCGCAGCCTTGTGATACATTCCTGCCTCTGCCTCCACTAGCCTGGCGGTTTCCTTGCTGCTGTGGGAGACCCCTCTGCCAGGACCACAAGGTACAGGTTATCACTGTGTTTCTGCCTCGCCATACGCCACACAAAGCACTGAACTCTAACTGGGGGTACAAAATGGACAGCAAGGACTATCAACACCAGCTGTGTGTGCCACGAGGAGAGTGGGCAAAGAGGAAAGGAAGGTGCAGAAGACAGGACCTGTGGAGCGGCAACAGCCTCCACTTCAAACCGCAACAGAAGGGTGAGACCCCGAAAACTGAGGGAACAGGAGAGGGAGGCTTAAGAAACTCACTTAGTTTCAAAGGTAATCAGAAGAACTAAAAAGAATGTCATGTTGAAGCAAATGGGGCAGGCGGCCTAAGTGTGAGCTGAATACTCATCTTTCACATCAAAGAACCTAAGGACAATATACAACAACTGCGTCAAAGTGTACAACTTAAACTGTAATCCCAGCACTCTGGGAGGCTGAGGCAGGAGGATCCAAAGTTTGAGCCCAGACTGGGCAACTTTGTAAGACCCTGTCTCAAAATAAAAAAGAAATCAAAGGCCTTGGGCTCAATCCCTAGTACAGTAAAAATAATTAAGTGAAGAAATAAATATATACCTAATAAAAAAAAAAAAAAACCCATAATCCTACAATCCTGGCACTTGGGAGGCTGAGGCAGCAGGATCACTGTGAGTTCAAGGCCAGCCCATAGACAGTTTAAGGCCAGCCTAAACTACAGAGCAAGACCCTGCCAAAAAAACACAAACAAATAAATAGGCACTCTCCTCACTGACTGAGACAGGCAGGAAGGGAACGCTCGTGAGCACAGGCAGAGGTCCCAAAGGGCAGCTGGGCTGGGCGATCTGGGCCAGAGCAGGCTGACGTGATGAAGTGTGGATATGGTACCACCACAAGCAGGCATCTCAGGACGGGTGCCCAAGTGGCTGCTGCAGTGCGGTGGTGTTCTTCCCTGTGGTGGCTGCGTGTAGTACACCCAGCTGGGTCCCAGGCCGGCCTCGGGGACACTCACCGGCAGGCCTGAGCTGGGTGGACAAGGGGGTGCAGCGCAGCCTGAACTTCACCTGGCAGGAGTTGACCACGACGCTGTCGTTGGGGTTGAGGTTACGTGTGCTGATGATGCCAGGCACGCAGCAGCCCCTCATCAGCAGGTACTTGGTGTGGGAGGCCTGATGCGCCTTCACCTCGACCCCCGCACGCTTCCCCGCTGCGCCTTCATCCAGGTCCTCCTCTTCATCCTCATCATCGTCCAGCCCATCCTTCCCCAGGCTGTGAGGAGAAAACAACACTCAGGGGCTGCAGACAGCCTGGCCCGGCCCCTGCTCTAGCCGTCTCCCCGCCAGCCCCAGGCCTTGACAGCTCGTGGATGCTGGTCCTAGCCCCGTCTCCTGGCCCTCTCACCCAGGCTAGCCTTTCTGCACAGTGGTGTCCATGCAAAGCCTGTTCCTCTTGCTGGAAAGTCTTCCTACATCTCTGTTCAGGAGTCCCTACCTTCCCATGAGGTTCCAGGGCAATTCTCATACCCCCAGAAATGTAACTCCTAGGCCTGGATCTGGGGAGGTCTTTCCTGCCGACACCACTACTACTACGAGGCCCACTTGGCTTTGTTTCACAAACATGCAGTACAGTGCCAGACACCAAGCAGTAAACTTCAGCATGTTTACGGAGCAGAAGAAGAGCAGACAAAAAAACAACCGAGGCGCCACTGCAGTAAGAGGACGTGATGATGGCGGGCACACCTCACCAGCCCGAGCTGTACACAGTGTCCCAGCTACATCAGCCGCTGAGACCTGGTGCTCACCTCTTCATGACCTCGTTCTCCACCATGGAACTGTCCACCACCAGGATCTGCTCTGGGATCCTGACATCCACGGAAATGAGGCCCAGAGACCAAAGGGTCAGGGCAGTCACACAGTGTCCTCCAGGTCCGTCCAGAGAAAACGGCACCATGTCAGTTGGGGGGTTACCACTATCCTGGTCTTTGAAGAAAAAAGGATCAGATTGGTCCAACTTGCCGGCCGCCCGGAGTCTGTCAAAGAACTGGTACGATTCTGTGCAGATGGTGCTGGGAAATCGCCAGGTAAAAAGCCTATATGGGCAAAAAGAAAGTGAGGGCCTGCCTAAGGCTCGGCCGCCAGAGGCCCATCACTGGGCCCACAGCACATTCGATCATTACGGTCACAATAGTATGCGCCTGTCTCTGGGGGCTCTCTGTTCCATCCTGCAAGGAGGTGCAGTGTCTGTGCCCAGCAGTGCCTGTCCCAGGCAGGTTCCCGTCTTCTCATGCTGACCTCACTCCGGAGGCTCCCACTACAAATAGCTACGGAGTGGGGGTGGGGCGTGGGGGGATGAGTGTCCTTTGGTGACAATAACTTGTATCCAAAGCCAGTCTTGATCTCGCACAGGGAGAAGGCATGTGGACCATCTCACTGTCTCCAGAGCCTACCAGAGGGCTTCGAGCCCCTGGTCCTGATGGGAGCGGGCCTCTCTATAACCCTGTAACGACTGCCAGTGGGAAGGGATGCCCCACCCAGGCGCACACACAGAGACATGCAGTTGGGAAATGTGGCTCAATGTCAGGCGACTCTGCTGGGTTTGGATGTATCTTCTACTACTGTGTCACCTTCCCGGAAGGTAAAGGAGTCTGAGGATCATTAGGGTGAACTTTTAGGAAGAAGTAGCACTTCGAGCTGGAGGCAAAAGATGAGACAAAGAAACCAAAGACTCTTGATGCTGTCTCCCTGCATCTGCAAATGGCCCCATGTCCCAGCGTGGAGCGTGGCAGGCTGGCAAGGCAACACTGCCTGGTGTGTCTTACAGGACTTCCTCTGCACGAGACCGGAAGGCTGGTGGTACAAAATACCAAACACACAGGCATGACCAGCAGAGCCAACTACAGTGTGAACCATGCTGCCAGGAAGCCCCTTTGGCTCAGGGCTCCAGCAGGAAGGAGGCTGCTCTGAACATGACCTGCATTTCAGCCCTGCAGATACAGGCACTACAGAGGGGCCAAGGGCAGCGAGAGGCTTCACAGGACTCTGAACCACAAAGACAAAGGACTGACATCACACAGCGCAGTGACCTCTAACTGGATCCACTGTTGAATGTGACCTGACACTGACTTCTCCCCATCTGGCAGGGGAGGGGAGATGCAATACCCGGTACACAGGCACACTCTAGCACAAAATGCTATGGGGCTGGTCCTGGCGTGCAGGAGCAGGAGGCCAGCTAGGACTAGTGAAGTCCTCCCAGACCTACATCTCACACACAAGTGAAGCCAGACAGCTGCACTGATAAAGTACAGCTCACTGGCCCTGACCCACCTGTAGTAGGACTGAGACAGCTGGTAGGACATGGGCACAAAGGGCAGGGCCCGGTTCTTCTTGGGGCCCAGTGTATGGTTGACCCGGCGCCGGTTGACCAGGCTCCTCTTCTGACACTCCATGAAGGCCCGCGCCAGCACTCGCTCCTTATATTCGCGGTAGAGGCGGAATGTCTGCAAACAGCATTAGGGTGTGTAAGTGCACAGAAGCACCTCAGGGCTGTGTGTGTGACGTAACTGGAGTGATTCTGGGGGGAGCCGGCAACCCCAACTCTCTCTCAGACTATGACATCACACCTGCCGAGACCACAGGCCACTGGAGAGAAAGGAAGGCCATTCATACAAGCTTGTCTTCAGGTGCAAAGATGCTGAGAATCAACACAGGGTAACCCCTGACATCATTCTGTCTCTTAGCCTCTTAAGCCATCCATCAGCAGGTATGGCTGGCCTGAGCTTCAAAATGTGTTTCCAATTGTTACGGCTATGGCTTATTACCAATGTCCTCCCAAAGGACATTGCTTATGCACTCAGAGGTGAGGCTTTTGTGAGTGACTGAATCGTGTGTGTGTGTGTGTGTGTGTGTGTGTGTGTGTGTGTGTGTGTACGTGCGTGCTACTTGGTTAGTTCACTGACTGGGTTAGTACACCATTCTGGGTGTGAATGATGGATTTACCCTGAGTAGAGGCGGCTCTAACCAAGAGGCTTGTAGCCTACACTGAATACAGACAGAAAGACAAAGGAAGTCTGCTGCTTCCTGCCCACCCTGCCAGGGACTGTTTCTCCTCTGCCATGCTCTTCTGCCTTGGAGCCAGCTGACTATGGACTGAAAACTCTACAAATTGTGAATTAAAATTAACTTTTCCTCTTGTAACTTGTGGGTGTCAGATATTTTGTTTCAGCAACAAAAAAGTAACTAAGACATCAATGCAACAACACTGGCACCATCTGGCCCACACTACCGTTTTCTCGCCACAGCCTCCAGCTACTGGTTTCCTTGCTTCTCTTACTCATCTCCTCTCTAACAGCCTTGACCATTCCCCACAGCAGCCAAAGTAACCTTTTTATATATATCGAAATCAGACTACATGTTCTTTTCCTGCTTATAAAATCCCTCTGCACATGACATTAGCCAATCCTTCCGAGACCCCACAGGGACTCTGTGGCAGGGCAGTGCACCACTCTGCCCTGACCTCCTGTAGTTCCACCCTGGCTCACCACCTTCAGCTCTCTGGGCCAGCTGAGTTTTCCAGATAAAGCCAAGGCCTTCTTGCCTTAGGGACCCAGCACTTGGTGCTTCCCTAGACCTATGCATGGCTGACTCCTTCAGGGCTTGATCCTTTCCCCTCAAGACCAAATCCTCCTCTGACCCTTTCCTCTGTAGGTGGTAGCATTCTACTTCTGTTCGACACTCTTGTAGTCATGGCCTCTACCTTGAATGGGCTCATGTATCCACCCTCCCAGGAAAGCTCGGGCTCAGCTCTCCTGTGTAGTCCAGAACAGAGTGCTCTGTAGAAGTGCCTCTGATGGCCATGTCATTGTGACTTGACACAGGCAGCTGAGTCTTATGGGCCCCATAGGGAAGAGTTGCTCACAGCATTGCAGGACCAGCAAGATCCCTGCTGCTTCAAGTTTGTGGCAAGGGCTGGCTCAAACAGCCATGGTCCCTCATTACCTGGTACACATGACCTCCAGGACAGTCCCTTGAAGACAACCTCTCATGTGCTAGCTGTGCAAGTTGCGCCATGGTCTAACAGCTTTAGGCTCAGAAGGCTCTCACATGGCTCCCAGGATCTCTCAGTGAGGTTATGTACTTAAAGTGACACTCTGAGGCCATGCCGCTAGGCAGGGGTGGCACAAAGAACAGCCCTCTTGGGCTGGGCTTTCTTTCTCATTTGAGGGGGCAGCAGACGTGACTGTCCTACCCTCACTGCTGGGCAGGAAAGCAGGAGTCCCCTCCACAGCTGCCAGGCAAACTCAGAAAGCTGAATTCTTATGTACAATGTTGGCCATAAATTAAAAAACAGGTTTTTTTTGTTTTTGTTTTTTAGTTTTTTGAGATAAGGTCTCACTATGTTTTTCAGTGGCCTCAAACTTGTGACAATTCTCTTGCCTCAGCCTCTCAAGTATTGGGACTACAGGCATATGTCACTACATCCAGCTCTGTTGTTTTCTTATAAACAAGTAGGAGTTAACAGAACTCCAAGGGCCAGAGGGGCCTGTGGCTGCCCTCCCCTTTCCCCGTTCAGGCTAAACAGGGCTCCACTCTCTTCAGCCGCCAAACACTAAGGTGGCTGTGAAGCACCCAGCACCCACAGCATTCTCTCACCATAGGATGTACCAAGAGCACAAAACCTGCTCAAGAAAATGCAGGGTTCCAGGGCTGCACGACAAACACAGGCAGAGTGCTCACTGGACTTGTCTGACTCAAGTGGTCCCAAGCATCACTGAAGGGGCAGCCACACCAGCGTGATAAACTGAAACTAGAGATCACTGCTGGGTCTGCCGAGGACAGACCCTGCCATTCCATTAAGAGCAGGCCCAGGTGGGTCCTGCAGAAGGCAGTCAAGCCTGGCCGTGCATTTTTCCTGAGTGGCCCTACCTCTCCCCGGCCTTGTCCAGCCCTGTGCTCAAGGGAACAAGCACAGGCCTGGGAGGTGTGTACAGCACTGGGTCTGCGCTAGCGTTAGCTCAGGGTGGTCCCTGGCCCCTTATGTAGGATCTGGGGACTGAGTGGCAGATATTTATTAGAGCCCCATCCTCTATTCCTGACTGTAACCCCTGGCTGCTCCCAGCTGACTCTAAGGAACCCTCATATTTGGGACCCACTTATCCAAGTTCATCAGCAGAATCAGGAAACACCACCCCTTTGCTTTTTTCATTTTCTTCCCTCGTTCCGACCTAGGCAGACGTGCTGACATAAGCCAGAAAAGCAGACTGTTAGGCCTACAGATTAAATACAAAGCACAGACTTAGTTCCCGGCTCTGGGTAGGGTTAGACAGGGTTGGCCTTCCTCTCATGCCCGTTAGCCACAATCAAGCAGTGGTCTGGCCTCCCAAGTCTTCAGAAGACAGGTGATTCACCACCCCTCGGGAGGCAGCCTCCCATCCCAGGACCACCATGTGCATTTACAGATGGTGATTTGAAGAGACGCTGTACAGCTCTGCGACTCTCAGTGCCTAGACCATGCCTCGTTTCCTCACCTGCTTAGTTTTCTGTCTTAAATCTGAGACCCATGATCTTAGCTGAGAGGGACTTTGGAGGTCACCGAACCCTGTCCTCACACCTTAAGAATGACATAGAGATGGGTAATACTGGTCAAGGTGGGAGTTACCAAGTTCAGGTCATGCAAGATGAATCAGCTCTGGAGAGCTAATCAGTGTTCAGCACGTGACCGTGGGTAACAACCTAGTACTATGTTTGAATTGTGTTTAAGGTGTTCTCATCTTAAAAAAACCTAAACACAGATATATTAACAAGGATTTTGTGGTAATCACTTTATAATATATATCAGGTCAGCCATGTGTATGCTCTGAATAGGTAATATAAAAATAAATGAAAATAAACCTAAACAAACTCCTAACAAGTAAGGACCCAAGAAGCGCTAGAGGCCTGGTATTAGGAGGGGAAGTGGGTTGGACACTGGGCCCCAGAACTCACAGCTGAGAACAAGCACCCACTGGCCCTGGTCCCACCTGTGCCCACGGAAGCTGCGACCCACCTGGAATGACTGGCAGGACTTCATCTGGCTGTTGGAGAGGGACAGTGTGCTCTGGATCAGGTTCTGCAGCACCAGGAACTGGATGTCCTCCACACTGAAAAAGAGGACAGGGCAGTGTGAAGCTGCCAGTGTGGGCTCTGCTCATTTCAGGGGATATGAGTCTTAGTTAAAGTGAGTTCTCAAGCTCAAAAAGGTAACTCGTACACCAAAACTATTCCAGCCCTCCCACACACACAAAGTGGCATTTTTATGCCTTAACTAACATATCAAGTTTTGTAGGGAAGTTTTCCCCCAGTGGAGAAGGGGTGATGAAATCTGCAACTGTTTACAAGACCACTAATCAAGGTAGGTAGTGCATATATTTTTCCTCTAATTCTAACCAACATTTTCTCAAAAAGAACAGTGTGCTTCTGAATCAAGCTGAATATTGATTACACAAGATAGGATAGGAAAATGCTGAGCTTTGTGAGAGCTCTGCTTGCAAAGCTTATGGAGTGAGGGTCGAAACCTTCTCCCTGCATCACCTTAAGTACTGTCCCCAGTGGTACTCGAAGTTAGAGGTCAGGGGCCAGCTGGCTGTGACTCTAGCTCACTTCTGCATTCGCTTGTAGGCGATCCAAGCAAGCACTGACGGACAGGCAACCTGCATGTCAAAACTTACCTATTAAGTTCATCCTCCTTCCTCATCTGATTTTTTTCATCTCCAATTGCCAAAACTCGGTATCTGTGTGAGAAACAGAAGAAAAGCATGCCAGGAGAACAGGGCACATCTTCACTCACTGAACTGACTGATGCTTGATCCTCCAGTTACTGGCTGACAGGCTGGGGAAAATGTCAAACTCATCTAAAGCTGAATACTACATGTAAATGGAAATGAGAATACTAGCTGGTGTCCGAATGCAGGCTGAGAGGAGGGAGCTGTTTGCTCACTGCCTATCACAAAGTCAGCAGGCAGCAGGATGTGCAGGGTCCACTGCACACTGCTAACAGGGCAGAAGGTAAAACTGGGCTCGTGACTGAAACATTAGTGCAAGATAGGAGATGAAGAAAACACCCAAAAGCAATGAAAAAAGGCCAATCACATAGAACTAGAGTAGGTGGCTATCAGAAGAGGAAGGGGAAGTGACAAAGGTGATCAAAGAGGACAAAGCCTCGGACTAGAGGAGGGTTCCAGTGAGCTACTGAACTGCACAGGAATTGCAGTTCACAGCACAGTGTGCATTTCAAAACTGTGAAGAGAACTGATTTTTAACATTCTCATCACAAAACTGTAAGCGGACGGATCTAATCCTTCTGTAATGTATATGTACAACAAAACACCCAGGTGTGCCCCATAAATACACACAATTGACATTTGTCAATTAAAAAATAAATTTGTCGATTAAAAAATAAAAAATAAATATAGCTCAGCCTGTCTAGCAAGCAAGAGGTCCTGAGTTTGAGTCCAGATACTCACACACACACAAAAAGGAAAACAAAAGATTTACAAACAAATGTCCAAGAGAGTAGTTTTGTTAAATGATAGAATGGCGGACAATCTTTTCATCTGTTCTTTGAGTTTCATGTAGTATTGCACTGGATTCCAACCAAGGAAATCACATCATAGACCTAACTTTTTAAAAAATGACGACCACTTGTAAGACATTTCTTGAAAGTGTAAGTCATCTTTGCAATAATAAATTCCTAAAATCTGGTGCCAAGAAAAAGTATCTTTTCAGAAAAATGTGTGAACTGTTCTTAGTCAAGCAGGACAAACATGGAACCTTCTCTTTCTTTGCCTCACTTGTCAGAATGGCCAGCATTATGGCTTGTGTCTGCACACCCCACCCAAAGCCCCGTAACATAGGGGCAGGCTTTTTGGAGGTGCCTGAACCTAGAGTTTGTGACTGGTTTACTGTCTAATGTTGGAAATGGGGGTTGTAAGTGCTGTAGCAGCCCTAGAAGCCTGCACACAGTACAAAGGACAGAAAAGAGGCTTGCTTCTCCCTCGTGCTTTTGCTGTCTTCTGCAGCCCTGAACTGTTACTGCTCTGCCATGCCACCCTGCCTTGGACCCAGCTGACGTGGACGGAAATCTCTACCAACTGTGAGTTAAACAAATCTTGCCTTCCTTAAGTTTGAGTGTTGGGTATTTTGCCTCAGCAGTGAGAGAAAAGTAACCAAGACAGGGTCAAAATTAGTGCTAAACTGTTACAACTACAACTTGTTCTTTCCTAAATGGTTTGTGAGCTCTCCTTTGAAAATCTTTTTTTAAAGTTATCTTCTTTGAAAACTAAAAGCTGCCCTACAACTTTACTGAAAATGCATGGGGACATAAATTACAAATAGGTAAGTGAACCACGAAAACATCTTTAGGGCAGACATAAATCACTCCATTTGGGAATTCTGGATATTGATTTACTGCAAAAACAAAAACAAAACCTGGAGAATAGTTAAAAGGTGTCAACTGCAAAATGACTGTAAGAATCACTCACTAGCCCTAACATACATGGTGGACACTACTTACACAACTTGTTGAATGGATGAAAGAATGAGCTCTCCTATGGAAATGCAGGGACAAACAGCACTGGGCAGGTCACAGAAGGAAGCAATCAATAAACCCCACCTCTGCACAGGAAAGAAACTCAGAAACATGGAGCAAGGAGTCTCTTCCCATCAGGATGGTGGGGAGAAGGGATTCATATTTGGATGAGGCTGAGAACGTAAGACTTTAAAATTTCACAGGGTTGTGTTGGAACACAAATATGTTTTTCCAGAACTGGAGCAGCTGAGCTAGAAGTAAAGGGGTTCTGGAGCCAGGCACTGCTATTCCAACCACCCAGAGCCTAGGCTTAAATGGAGAAATGTATGTTCCTCGCTGGGCACTGGGGCTGCACAGGACATGGCCCTGGTAGCATCAAGTTGTGGCCTTGAGTGTGCCCCAAAGGCTGTGCCCCCTCTACTTACATCTTGGAATTATCTACAAAGTGTGAGGACTCAGCAAAAAGTATACCTGGCAGACAAAGCCTGACTTAAGTTAGCAGAAGGGATTTCTCAGAAGAAACGCAAGGAGTCAGAGGGTGCCAGGAATGGCAGCCCTTTCCGTTTTCAAGTCGCTCATGACAGATGAGAGAGTCCCTGCAAAGTCAAATGCAACAAGGCAAATGCACAGCTTCCCAGATCCGCTGATGAGGGGAGAGTTATTGTCATGGCCAGCTGGCTTTGGCCTCTTGCCTATGAGGACCAGGTGGAACCAGTCCAGAAGAACTTACCTGGCAAACAGCTCCTGCAGTGTGTCTGGGATTTCAAGGTTAGGATTCCCTAGAGTGGAACTGAACTTCTCTTTGAGCTTCTCCACAAATTCTTTAAACTCCTTGGCACAAACCTTCCACAAGAGAGAGGGAGACATTAATTCTTTCTCTTTGTGAAGATTTCCTGAAGATGCACTAAGGAACATCTCTTGACAAATGTCCACAGCTGCAATACCCCTGAAACATTGTCCAACTGCCTCTCTGTCCTCCCAGGTCTCTGCTCCACTGGAGGACCCTGCTGTTTCAGTCCTGACCATATGACAGCGTGGCCCCTACTGGCCTTGTACCTTGCACCTCCCAACTCATCTGCGGTGTGGTCACTGTAATAAATGGCCTTCTCCATGCATCTCCATGCCTGGGCTCCCCTAGGGCTGTGCCAATGCGCTGGCCCCCCTGCTGCATCTCTCTCACACTGCACCTTGGGCATCTGCCTGAATTCTTTTGCAGCATCTGAGCACAATCCAAAGCCAAAACCCCAAGAAGGCTTTTTGTGCCATCTCACAAGTAGGGCCTGCCCTGTTCACTTCTCTGCTGGGGAAGACAGGGACCTAGGTCTCCTAGAATCCAGTGGTCAACCCATTCCTGCAACCTCAGTTGCTACGCTGGACATTCACTGCCCAGTCATGGGGCCCAAACCTATAAGGTCCGCTGAGAAAGGCTGCACCTCAATAAAAAGGCCCCAAGTGCCCAGAGCAGCCCTGCCCTCCATTTTCCTGCCCTGGTATTCTGTTACCAAGCCTCAGCTACAGGAGTTAAGCTGCAATGCAGGGTGATTGCTATAAGGACGGAATTAATGAGCGCCTAGGACAGAGAGTGGAGGGGTACACTGAATCTGGCACTGCTGCTTTGTTGCACTGGCTTGTGGGCAGTACTGCTACCTCCCAACTACTTGGTATGTGAGGAAAACCAAGTCCTAAGCCACCATGAGGCTGGAGTATTGTGCCACTGGCATCTGACAGCGTTCTAGATCTCGTTTTGCTGGCCTTACAGGCCTCATTGTGTTGAGGCCGGAGCTGGCTACTGCTCTGCCTATCCCACTTGCCTTTGGTGCCCTCATGGTGAGCGTTACATCTTGTCCTCCCAGAGCCTCACCCATGTGCAGCAGACCCTAGGGCTGGCTCAGTGAGGGAGGGATGAGCAGAATGGCCGGGAAGCAGAGCCTTCTCGTCTGTAAGGATGGCTTTCTTGTCAGCTACCACCTGGCCTGCACCCCACACAGCAAACTCAAAGGCAGCTTTCCAGGAAGCATGACGGCTTGGAACTACTAAACAGCTGTCTTATTTTCTAACAAAATGGGCCTGAAGTACAGCAGTATTTCAAAGAGGCGTGTCAAATTTGAGTCATCTTTAGAAACAGATTCTTGGGAGTCAGATCAAATGAGGTCCAAAGCCAAAGGACCCACGTATGGATTTCCCAAATAAGCAGGAGAAACATTCATGTTTGGGGGGCTGATAAAGGCAGTGGAGAGTCCCTAAGAGCCCATCGAGCACAGTGCCAGCCTTAGAATGCCAGCGAGCACAATGCCAGCCTTGGAACCAGCCTGGGCCCGTTTTTGCACAGGGCCTACCTTTGGGTCCTCATAGTCACATCTGCGGTTCATGAAATCTCCAATCAGTGCTTTATCCTGGTACACCTCAGCCAGGCAAACCCTGCAGAGGCAAGACAAAAACCAAGTCTGGGGATCGTACCAAAGTCTACCTTCAGAACATCGGGAGGCTTCTATGCTAACCTGCCTGGTCTTGAGCACCTGTCAGGGCCGTTTACTGCCTGTTGGATGGCTGGTGCTTCTGGAAATGAATGAGGTGGGGTGAATGTGAAAGAAGTCAGGCTGGTCCCCGCTCACTTCTTGCCCTAGGGCTTCTCTAAGCTTCTGTCTTCCACTAGGAAATTGAGAACATTAACTTTCTCCATTTTCCTGGCTCAATAGGGTTTTGACCAAGACCAAATAAAGTGTGAAAGTGTGTGTGTAAATGCGACAATATCATACATCACTTGGTGCATGCTATCCCTCAAAGTTCTTCTCTCCCAAGCAGTTTGTCCATCCACAAATATTTTTATCTCTGCAGTGTTGTAAGGAAAGTCTGAGGAGTCCAAAGGGAAAAAGGAGACCACCAGGGTCAGAGAGCTTCCCAGATGAACACTGTCATTCCACACAGCTCAGTGGGGCAAAGGGACCTGTTGAGGTCACACATTCCTACACCTGGCGTGGGCAGGATAGGTGTGGCTATTCTTGACATCATCCACTTCCCCAGTTAGGAGACAGTCTCTGTGAGAATCAATGCTTCATCCCTGGTAAATAGCCCTGGGGACTGCCCTGAGGATAATGTCCAGACCTCAGAAACTGGAACCCTCTGGGCTACTGCCGAGGAAAAGGAAAGCAAAGGTTAGGAACCAGGAGCTTCCATTTTAGACCTCAGTTCACTGGTAAGTCACTGTCACCCTGACACGCTTTCTCTGTAGGCTTATTTGCCCCTGGGAAGAAAGTGTGTAGCTCAGTGGGTACTTTTGCAATAGAAAGGGTTCCTTCAGACAGACAGGAATGTCGAGTATTCTATGTACAAGGAAAAGTACTTTCCCCAAGAAGGTCTTTGGTTCTCCTTGGGGCAATTCTGCTCTCCTGGGGTTGTCATCTGAATAGGGAGAGGTGCTACCAGCATTAAATGTGTAGAGGCTGAGGTGCTGCCAAACACCAAAAAAGCCACAAGATAGCAATACGACAAAACTGCCCTGCCCACAACAGTGCCAAGGGTCAGAAACCTTGTCTGGAGCCGAGTTTCCTCCGTGAGCTGGGCTGTCCCAACTCCCTATAGGGTCTAGCTGGCCGCAGGTGTGGCCTGGAACTGACACAGGGTCAGTTCCTTTGCAACTTCAGCCCCAGTCATCAGTGTGGAAGTGGTTGGATCCCTCCTTTCCCCTCCTCATCCGCATCCTGACCTCACGCTGCCTGCACACTGAGTCCCTCCCCGCACTCATGGAGGGAACTGCAGGAGGGGTTCAATGGGACTAGCAGTGCTTTAACACCTTGGATTGTGGGGAGCCAGTGGGCAACCTCACTGTCAACAAAGAAGCTACCAGATGCATACTGGGGCTCAAATGGCCACATGGGGCAACCTCTGCCTCCACCACACACTGCTCAGATGATGCTCAGTGTGTCCTGCACCCCAGCCGCCGTATCACTTTCCCTGCTTCACAACGATTCTAAAGCCCAGTTCATGGAAGCACCCAGAATCATGCCTGGCCCTTGACCAACCAAGGGTGATCCCACTCACAAACTCCAACACTTGGACAGCCTACTGGAAGACTTGGTTTGCTTCACCCAGATTTCACACCAGTCTTGAGCAAGTGGAGTTGAAAAAGGAGAAAACAATGATCTAGAAGAATTAGAACCACCATGACCCGGAGTGATCCTATTGCAAATATGGCTTACTTATAGTTCAGATAGGCCTGTGGGTTTTTGACAATGTAGCGAGCTCTTCGTCCAACTGAGTGAGATGTTTTATCCAGAGACTCCTCAAAGGTGGCATGCAAGACATCTCGCACGACCTGCCAGGGGACAAATGGGCCCTTCACCTGCAAAGATAGCAAAGGTAGAAAATCAGCATCTAAGGGGCCTATACTAAACGGATCTAATGGGAAAAAGTATCCCATTGCACGTCCTTCTTCCAAGTACTCAAAGCTCTCCCTTTCATGGTCACCCAGCCACTCTAACCAGGCCTCAGCCATGTCCGGGGGAAGAGTATCTTCTGGCAAGTGCCTAACGGAGGTGCCCTGAAGGTGAGAGGTGGTTCTGACTAGAAGGGCAATAGGTTAGGGAGGTTAAAAAATACTGACTGTGCCTAGAAGGTTTTAGGCTACATAGGCTAGGGGTCACTTTATACTGTACACTGCTAGAATGTTAGACTGTTATGTTACACTGCTAGAATGAGAATGAACCAAGTCAGCAGATTGAACAGCTCAGAAAAATCACACACAGGAAGATGCTTAATGACAAGTGACTTTTCTTCTAACCCCAAGAATAAAATGACCCAATAAGAAGGTATAAATTCTGCTAGAGAGTATAAGGTGGGTCACTACCACCACCAGGTTGTGGAAGCCCCTTGTAAACACTGCCTGTCAAACACTGTGATCAAAGACCACTGCAAGTGCAGGAAACAAAAGTTAGAGATGTAATGGATCACCTCAAAGAGGGCAGGGACAAGGTGAGAGGATGAGGGACAACTGGGCCCAGAAGGGACCCAAAGAGCTTGCAGATACTGAGGATCATGAGCCCATCAGACCTGATACTCAGGTCTCTCCTGGCTGCCACGCCTGAGACCAGCTGCACTGGGCTCAAGGAGCTGCTTCATCTACTCTGCCTGGCTGCATTACTGCCTGCAAGGGGCTTTGGGAAGGACAATGGCACAGCGCATTTGCTGGTGGCTTCGGTGAAGCAGTTTGACATTGGTCCATATCCTGTTGCAGACTGAGGTGACCAGGACAGTACCAAGGAGCAAGAATGCAGTGACCAGAAGTGTGGTGGGGAAATGAACTCTGCCTGGGCTGCAGAATCATCAGTGACATCAGAAAGGAAGTGCTTGCTAGACAGAGGGCTAAGCTGTCCCCACTGCCTAGGGATCAGGACACAGGGCAGAGCAAGTGTGGGGGACTGTGGTGTGGCAGGCAGGTGAATGCCACCACTACCAGTATACACAGATTCAACCAACAGTCATTATATAAGAGATGAGTGGTGGTACCATGCTTGGGGCCATACCAGGAACCAAAGGACAAGTGCCTCTGCCTTAAGAAATAGCCATTCTCGGGGCCATGAAGCTTCAGAAGCAACAGAGCCCAAGTGGAAAGCAAGAGTCCAGGGAATGGAGGGAGAACCATGCAATTACTTCCACTAAGCAGGATCAATGAAGCTTTCCCAGACCCACTGAGCTGTTACTAAAAGATACAGAGGCATTTTTCAGGCAGTGAGGAAAGAGCAGGGGAGCAGGAAAGGGTTAGCTCCTAGGGGAAGAAAGACAGAACAGCACTGAACTATTTCATCTGTAGCTAGGTGAAAACTTAGGGGTAAGCAACTGAAGGCTGGGAGGCAATGTGCAAACTGGGAATGGTGTGATCTTTAGCGGTCTGAGCAATGCTTTTCCCAGTGGTCGCAAGGAACAGATGAGACGAGTGGTCCCAAGGCTGGGGAGCTCCCAGAGGGGACAGAGCAGGGCAGGTACCTTGGTATTGAGGACATTGCTGGCGATGCGGCAGAGCATGAGAAGCCCATCCTCCTGCATGGACCAGGAGACGCGCAGCCGCGTCATCCTCCGCAGGGCGCTCTGGTCAGCTTCGTCATGGTAACGCAGCCTTTTGCTTTTGGTTCCTGGGGGCTCCTCTAGAAACACCAAGGGGAGATTAGAGGGATCCTCCAACAGCTGTCACTTGCAGAGTGGAAGGGGTCCCCAGCTAGTAAGCCTTGGTTAAGCACATCGGTTACCCGTGTGTTCACCCTCACCCAGAAGATCCACAGAAGACTCAGCCCCTCCTGACAGGGCTTCCTTCCTTTTCCCATTTTACACTGGTTACACTGGTTATTCTGGTTACACTGCTTGGTGACAGGCTGGACAGCTTGTGCGTGGCGTCTCGTCATCTGCCAATCTCCCCGGCTCCTACCAGGATGCCATATCCTTTGAAGGTGCCTTACATAGACTCCTTTAGACACTCTCACGGTGTGTATGCTGAGTCAGTGGGACCATCAACAGTGCAGCCACCAGGGTTGCCACTCCCTTGCTGTGTGACCTCTGAGAAGTGTGTAAACTCTTGTGGGTCATGGGGACAATGCATCCTGTGCTCAGCATTGAACAAGAATGGGTATAAAATGCCTACTGCGGTTTCTGCACAAAGGAACAGCTAAATGAACAACAGCAGTCAGCAGCATTACAGAATACTCACTGTATGTCAAGCACTGGCTCAAGTTTTACGTACACCGTACATCAACCCCTAACTGGAGCACTACTTTGCAACCACCTCACGAGAGGGATGCAACTATTATTGCCACTGCAACACCCCCAATCCAAGTAACACAGCTTCAGCTGCACGGCTGCATCCTCAGCCTGGAGCTTTCCAGCATCTCCAGCTCTTTTGCTAGGAAGACTACACACACCACTGCCAATTCCAAAAGGCTACTGGTTTGGTATTTTTCCAACAAAGGCAAGATGACAAATGAGGTAAGGAAAACTGAATTCAAAATGATACTGCCACCACAGTTTGCCTTGTAATAAATTCCAATCTTTGTGAGCTAAACTGGCCTTCGATGTATCAGCAGTGGGCTAAACAAAGGAGGCCACTTCAACAAATAGAATGTGAAGTGTTACCACTGAAAACCAAACAAGCCAGAAAAGGTTTCTGTTTAAACACTCTTATTTTCTCAGAAGTAACCAGAGCCATTAGATTCTCAATAAAACAAATGGACCACTTAAGTGATACAAAAGTGGTCTAAAAAATAGACCTGACATTCAAACCAACCCTTGTCTTTCTGCTATAAATACTACTCAGATACTCTAGTTTCTCTTCAGATCATTTAATCTTCCTTTGCCTTTTTAAAATACTATTCAGAAAGCTGGCAGTGGTGGCACGCACTTGTAATCCCAGCACTCAGGAGGCTGAGGTAAGAGGATTGCCATGAGTTTGAGGTCAGCCTGGGCTATACAGTGAGTTCAAGGTCACCCTAAACTACACAGTGAGAACTTGTTTCAAAAGATGACAAAACAAAACTGCTCAGATGAAGAAACCAAAATGGCAAACATAAGCCACACATGGTGTTGCATCAGATCTGAAGAGATTCTACAGGCTTAACTGACTCCCAGCTTTCCTCCAAGTTGAAATTCAGGTTGGCATGACTTTCACCTTTGGCCTGACTAGCCTAAATGAAAATGGTATAGGGAACCCAAGAGAAGGGTTTTGCCGGAGGGTTTTCTCTGCTAAGATAGTTAGAAATCTGAACTGAGGGAGTTGCTATGGGAAACACAAAGACACAGCCAAGGAAGGCAGGGAACATGCATGCAAAATTGGAGGCTCTAAGTTCACAGGGCGGGTGTGAAGGGTAAAATGATCACCGTGGGGCTGGTCTCTACACTGAGGGAAAACCACCTGTGTTGGAGGGTACAGCCGCGCCTTGTCTGCAGTGACACTGCCACACAGCTCTGACAAGCAGCCTGGGCTAATATGCCCAGGACCCCCACAAACCTTTTCTCTTTCGCTTGACCTTCTTGGCGGGGTCCTTCCTCAGACGCTTTCGTTTCTGATTTCTGCCACCCTTCACCCTGCGGTTTCGGCCCAGTGTGGGTTCGCGATCCATCCCAAACTGCTCCTCCCGGTGGGCAGAGAGCTCACTGCCTGCTTTCGTCTCCCCAGAGAGGGCCAGCCTGTTACCACCTAGGCAGAGGCACAAGATGGGGCAGTTTCAGGACAAGCTCTGCAAAGGCCCAAAGAGCCAAGCAGTAGGCACAGGTGATATTTTGGCCCTGAACTTCACAGCTACTGGTGGGGTGGACGCCCAGCACACATACCTCCAGCTCCAAGTGGCAAAGGGCGCTTGGACAGAAACGTCTGGAGCCTCACTGTGAGCCCATTCTCTGCATTGATGTTCTCCTAAGACAAACACAGCACCGCAGTGAGGTATAAGCTGCCACGGTCCCAGGAGCCTAGGTGGCTGCACAGAGACTGTGAGTAGCTAGCTTCTCTAGCCACGGTCACTGCATGTACTGCATGTATCACATCACCTAAGGACTTTTCTGCAGGAATACCTGTCTCACAGTACAGGCCAGAATCCACTGGCACGAAAATAAGCCTATGGGTCCTACCAAACAAACACAACTTCAATCTAAATATAAGTTCAGGCCTCTGATCAACTTTGATTTTATCAACTCAGAAGTCATGTGCCAGGAAGGGGCACAAGGTCAGTGCCCACCTTTCTGGCTTTAATGATATAGCTGGTCCAGATCCAGTTGCGTTTCAGGTGTGCATAGAAACTGGAATCGAGTCCAGCAGCTCCCAGCCCGTCGCCAGGGATCTGGCCTTCATCCACAACCTCACGGCTCCCCCTGAAAGATGGGAACACAGAGACCATGGAGTGGGGGTGGGGCGCTGACTTCCTGTAATCAACACTCACTTCTACCAGCAGGTGGAAGTCTGAAGTCCTAGTGTTGGCAGGGTGCCACTTTTTCATGAGAAAAAAATACTAAATCCAAATATTTATGTAAAACCCTCTACTTGTAAATTTTGATCCCCCAAATGATGGAATTTTAAAAAGCAATGTGAACCAGGCATGGTGGTGCACACCTGTGATCCCAGTACTCTGGGAGGCTGAGGTGGGTAGATCATAAATTTGAAATTAGCCTGCACAGCTTAACAAGACCCTGTCTCAAAATAACAAAAGGGCGATGGGGATGTAGCTCAGATCCTGAGTTCAAACCCTGTACCAAAAAGTGTGTGTGTGTGGGGGGGGGAGGTGCCAAATAAACCATGTCTAGGGCCAGATATGACCTAGTCACCATCTCTGCCTCACATGTGGGCCTTTTGGTCTGACGTCCTCTGCCAGACTAGGGGAAGTAGAGCATCCGGGATCAGAGCCACAGCAGCCTTGTCCTGGGCCCTGGGCCCACGCCTGGGGGCCCTTCTGGGACGCACATGGTATACTCCTGCATGGCACACTTGCGCTCCTGGTTGTGCTTGTCAATGGCGCTCTCCTGCTCCTTCCGCAGGCTGCCCTCCTCATCACTGCCCTGTTCGGTGCTATTCTTCGGAACGCCTGTACATCGTACCACACCTAGAAACCAAACCAAACCAAAGCAAACCAAGCTTAGGTAACCAGATTCCTGCAGTGGCTCTGGACTCTGGCTGGTGAGAAAAGAGTGACTCCCCGTCTGTGAAACCGCTCCCCTCCCCAGAGGCAGCCGAACTGAGAAAGCCAGTTAAGCACCAGACAGGCAGGCAGCCAGAGGAAAGCCAGTTCTCCTAGACGGAGAGCCTGGGAGAGAGTGCGAGACCCATGGAGTTGGTGTGGCCCAGCATGGTAGAAAAGATGACAGGCGGTGGTGGCAGTGTGGGAGTCACAGAAGGAAGAGGTTTGGACAGCTGAGAGAATGTCGGTTTCTCTGGCCCCTACCCAGCTCCTGGATCAGTCAGGTATTTCCTAATTGCTCAACTAGTACAGTTCAGTTATTTTTGGTTATTTCACAATAAAGGAAATTACATTTCTTGCAAGGTAACATAAAACACAGCTATCCTGTTGCTTGGGAGGTGAGGGAAGGTCACGGTCAAGTGCAGCCTGCTAAAGACCTTCTCAGGCTGAGACTTCAGCTCGGTGGCCTGGCTAGGGGGGCTGGCTGTGTAGGCACTCTGTGCTGCTCCTCTCAGCTGTAACTGTATCTGACTCCTTGCTCAGCTTCCCTTCAGCCCTTTGTGGTGTTGGTGGGATTTGTGGTTTAGAAGCAAAGAAACTAAGGCTAGGGGAGGTCACAAGGAGCTTGCCCAAGGTCATCACCCATGTGAATGCACCCACATATAAATCATATGTGCACCACCAAGGCAGTCTTTGGGCAGGGCCCAGAGCACATCAGTGTTTTAATGTGCTCCTTGGGTAATTTTTGTGCAAGCTGGTGTTTGGACAGCATTTGCTTTTCAACATGATTATGTCTTATTATACAACGCTTCTCTCATTCTTTGGGGCAAAACCTCTTCAAATGTGTGGTGGCTGAAGGGACAATCAATGCCTGATTAATGGAGCAATAAGCTTTTAACATCTTTGCTCATGAACGCTTAAAGGGATGGATATTCACTGTCAGACTTGAAAAATTCTGATGCAAATTATATGCTGGTTCACAAATTTTTACCTAGGTATAAAATATGGAGGAATTAGGGCATTTTTAAAACCTAAAATGGTAAAAGCCTGATCACTACTGAATGCCAAAGAGTTCTAAGAAGCACACTACTAAAATTTGTCTGGATCCCTTAACATCTCTAAATGCAAGGGCTCATCACTCTGTAGGCACTAAATAATTCTCCCAAATAAACACGTGACACTTGCTGTGCAAAAAATCAAAGTAGTAATGATCTTGCAGCTCTGTGACAGGAATAACAGAATATGATTCCTCGTCCAAGTGCAAATCCCATGTGGCATCCTTTATCTCCGGGTGAAGGTGGCGAGAAAAGATAAGATGAAGAAGGGAACGGCTCAGAGCACTGGAATGCAGGTCCCCTCACCTCCTCTAGTCCCTGCATTCATTCAGTAACATCTGCAGGATGCTAACCGTGGCCTGAGCACGCTGGGAAGTGCTCAAGGAAGTCACAGAACAAAGCAGGGTGACAAGATGCCTGATAGACTTTCTCACAGAGAGAATACGTGAAGCACGAGTGGCCAGCACAGTGGGAGGGAAGTGACATGAGCCAGCCCCAGCCCACAAGTCTAGTTGGTTCTTTCCCCACAACACTCCGGCCCCGTCCCCTCCCTGTTCATGGGCACAGGTAGACATCTTGCCTGGACATGAGTTATGGTCCCTTTTTGGGCTCCCTGCTTCACTCTGTGCCCCAGTTCACTCTCCACAGCAGCCAGGGAGAGCGTCTAAGTCCTGCATCATCTTGATACCCCATATTCCCAACCACCCATGGCTTCTCACTGCTCTTCAACAGTCTCAGACTCTTCACTGTGTCCCCTAAGTCTAGCTCCTGCCCATTCCTTCACTCAACTGCCGTGCTCCCCTGACACATCCTCAGGGCCTTTGCACGTGTTACTACCCCAGCCTGGAGTGCACTTTCCCATCCCTGCAAGGCTCAACTCAAAAGAAAGGCTGTTTGTGAGCGCCTCATTAAACTTCTCTGGAACCAATCTTCCTCACAAGCTGCCCCACAGGACGCATCACCACCAGGGTACTCCAGTGATCTCTGTCTCCTCCTCACTAGGACACAAGTGTCACGAAGCCAGCGACAGGCTGTATCTTAGCACTGAGTAGCCAGGCACAGGAAGTGACATGCAGCAGGGAATTGGTAAATACCTATTTTACAAACCCATGGATGAAGGCAAAGTGCTTGCCCTTAACCAGGTAGGGGTCCTCAGAGCCCAACTTCAAGGTCACCACTCTTCTAAGAGAGCCCCATGCCTGGGGAGCAGTTTGAAAATCACGTCTAGCCTCTTGCAGGTCACACAGAAAGGAAGCGACAGCAGGGGCCCAGCAGAATGATGTACCTAGTGGTGTGTTGAGGCAGACGCACTGCAGATCAAACCAGTAGCTCTCCACATCCTGCATGGAGTTCAGGACATAGAGCCGCCTCTCGAAAGGCCGGCTGCTGTGGGCCAGGTTGTAATGGGGGTCACAGATGGTGGTATCAATGATGACTGCCTTCTTCTTCAGGAAGATGAAGACCTGCAGGAGATACCCAATGAGGAGAGCAGCACCAGGTCAGTGTTGGGCCAGCTGCTGGGGCTCTCTTCCTTCAGCTGAAGGCATTACCTGATCCTTGTCCTGGAACTTCTCTGTGGGGCCGAACTGCAGCAGCCCCATGTAGCACAGTCTCTGCAGATTCTCCACCACCGAGAAGATGTACCGCCTGTAAAAGAGGCAGCTCCCACCATGCTGTTCCCGCATGACAGGGGCTGCTCAGGGCCCTTACCAACCCGACTAGGCCAACAGAAAGGGCTGACCCCACTTAAAGCTTGATTTTGAAAATAAGGGCAACAACAGGAAACGAGAAAAATGAAAGATAAGACGGTCTCGTAACTGCAGCCTTGGAGGCAGATTTTACTTGATTTGTTATTCAAAAACAAGAAACAAAATGTGCCAGTTCGTACTTTTTTGGTGGCTAAATTAATGAAAATCTTGAAGCTTAATGCCTCGAAAGGCAGATGCCCTTTATTCTTCCCAAACAATAAGTCCTCCAACCCTGACCACTGGGGTCTTCTTAGGCCCAGGAGTTGCCCGGGGCGGTCCAGGATCAAGGGCCCCACCTCTTATAAAGGAGCTGTTGCCGGATGGGCCTGGGAAGGAAGCGGATCAGCGTGTGCTGCTTCAGAGGGTGGTTCAGATACTCCTCGAGGTTGTCCACCTGCAGGGCCAAGTGCAGGTCTGCTCAGCCCAAGGGCAGGAGGAAGTGAAAGCACGGCTCTCCGGAACACACCTACCACCACGACCTCACACCTCCTGGGCCTCCGCACCTGCCTTCCCGACCCCTCTGTCACACCCTGGGGATGACAGACCAACAGTCCCCAGAAACAGGCGGGGAATTGATTAATTTACATTTAAAAAATCAAAAATGCTGAAGGCATTCATTCCCTCTGAAGTCAACAATTCTATTTCTATCTTACTGTATACGCTGAGGAAACTATGAAAATATTTCATGTCAAGTTAAAAAATGTAATGGTGTGGAAAATATATACTGTTCAGTGGAAAGAATAAATAAAGGACAGTAAATACAATTTCAATTCAGTTTTTTTTAAAAAAGAGATTTTACACATGTAAACACACACACACACAACATAGTAATAAAGTTTCAAAGCAATGTACCAACAACTTTAGCAGTGATTATCTCTCTGAGTGATCAGATTATGGGCGACTCCTATTTTTTTCCTTTTTCTATATTTACCAAATTCCTTTAAAAAAAAATCTGTATTTTACTGTCACACCATAATTGTCTACCTACCTACCGTGGCTACATATTAAGTATTACTACTCTCCTACCTATCCATCTATCTAATGATGGGTCTATCCAGAAAAGTATTTTAAGTATATACTTTGAACATCCATGCATCCATCCCCATCCACCTATCCAGCTTTCCTTCCTTCCATCCTATTACCTTTTATGAATTCTAATCTAATCTAATCTAATCTAGAGGGGTACTTTCCCTTGCCCCTCCCTCCCTCCATCCTCCGTGTTCCTCCATGCAGCTGTGCATCCCCTTGAGGAGGTGAGCGTAGGCCCCAGAGTCACCCGTACCTTGTAGCTGACTTGTACAATCTGAACAAAGATGGAAAGGGGCAGGCTGAGGAGGATGTCACTGACGAGGGCCCAGCCATAGCCAAAGTCCCTGTGGATGGGGATGGGAGGGATGTAGCGCATCCAGGAGGCGTCGTCCACATACACTAAGAAAACAAGTTGGAGTCACTTCCAGCAGAGAGAATCCCACTCAGAGTGAGATCATCTCCCAAGAGGTACTGTCCCCCTCTTCGCCCAACTTGGATGAAACCCTACTCCTCAGGTAGGAATTAGGAGGTGCCCAGGATTAGGAGGTGTGGACACATTTCCATTTCTCTCAGGGATGGCATGAAGACACAGGCTGCCCATGTGCTCCTCTCTGCCCCTCTATCCCCCTCCTACCCCAGGTGCAGATGTCTCAAGATGTCTTACCTGTCTCTGTGGACAGCTCCACCTCAGTCTCCCAGGTGACGCCGTCTGGATTGTCCCTGCGTTCTGAGGACTCCCAGTCACCTCTGGAGTGCCTGCTGCCTCTCCTCTCACTGACGAACACTGGCTTGTCCATCACATAGCTGGTAGAGTGCCCGTAGATCAGGTACCACAGGAAAGTGTGCACTACCCGCAGGCGAGGCATTTTGGGCAGGAACCCAAGAGAGCGCCCAAGGCCAGGAACTGAAGGGAAAAGGGGACAGGCCGTGCTTGAGGAATCCCACACTGAATTTGGTTCAGTCCATCTAAAGACAACAGAGTGGTACTGTGCCCAGGAGCGGGGATGGGGGCAGCAAACACTCTGACACCTTCAGAGCTTTACCTTCCAGTTAGAAACGACAAAAAATAACACCACCTAACTGGTGCATCATATGGAGCCTGGTAGTGCAGAAAAGCAAAGGAGGGATGAGGGCTGGGACTCTACAGACTGGGACGAGCGTTCCCGGCAGCCGGCAGGCCGGTGAGCTGAGCCCACCAGTAGTTAAGGGAATGGGTCACACAGACACACGGGGACGTGTACAGGACAAACGCAAGGTGCCTCTGAGGGTCCATGCCTGGCACACTGTGGCAAGGCAGGAGGCCAAGTGACAGAGTGGAGCCAGGAGAGGAGGCAGGAGTGTGTGGACAAGGGTGTGGCACGGAGGGCCACTAGGTAAGCACTTTTGGCACGACATGGACTGTGCCAAACAACCCAAAATCTCAGTTCTCTTAAGAAGTATACTTTTTTCTTGATACAAATCAACTGTTCCCTCAGTTTCCCCAGTGACAGAGGGCAGGTGTGGGACCAGGTGGCAGCAGTGTGTACCCAGTGGGGGTCCAAAACACTGCCTTGGTCTACTTGGGTGCTCGTGTGGTGTTTCATTCTGTACTTTTTAACTAGGAAACCTGGAGCACTAGGTCACTGTACACTGGTGCCCTTGGAAGGGAAAGTCACATGAACTACCACTCTGGCTCAGACTCCTGGATCTACTGTCTCATGCCAGATGTCACCTGGCACAGGCTGGTGCCCTCACTACTCCACCGCAGAAGGCCAGCCCTGCTTACAAAGCCCAGCCACTGCACCGGCCGGACACAAGTTCACACGGGAGCAGCAATGAGAGGAGTGAGGGAGAAGTCCCAGAGAACTCGGGACAATGGCAGAGGGTTTATGGGGTCAGGTCAGGGAGGTTTTCTGTGGCTTATCAGGTGCTAGCCCACAGGTATTGAGCAACAGAAATTCATCTTTATAAATCAGACCTGGAAATAGGATCTAGTGTCATTTTACCTTTGTTTCTCAATGCCCTGTGAGATTTATGGGACAAGAATCCCCATTCTGCAGAGTGGGTCATGGAGGCCAACAGAGATGATGTTGACCCACCCAACACACCCCCACCAGTGACTCCAATCTGATTTGTCTGCCTATAGCCCAAGTCTCAAATGTAGGTCTCTCCCTGACTCACACATCAGCATGCAAACAATATAGCGACACAGCTAACGTGAACAAAGAGTTGCCTTTTACCTACAACAGGGTGGTAATCTTTCATCGGGGTTATGCCCATCTTCTCATCAGTCTTTTTTGCCCGCCCGCTATCTGGTTTAGAGGAAGCATTCATGTCAGAGTCTCCTGATCCGCTTGGTTCTTCTTGCCCTCGACTCTCTTCTTCTGTCTCCTCTGGGGGTGCTGGAGGCTGAGGAACCTTACCCCTGAAGTCCAAGCACAAAGTGTAACCATGAATTGAACAAATCCATGGCTGGGAGCAAAGACAGAGGCCCAAGGTGGGGGTGGGTTCAAATTCAACAGCCCACCGGGTCAGGCAGACCACACAAAAATAAGCAAGTGACAGTCATTAAGACTTGTGGGGTGGTGGGAAATGGGCCAAGAGCAAGCCACCACCAGGGCGTGCTGCCTAGGGAGATAGGGAGCCCACCACCCCACCATGCTAGGTTTGCCAACACTTTCACAGATGCCAAGCCAGGGCAGCCCTCCCCACCAGGGCCCACCTCTCCTTTAGATCCAGCTGAGGGCTCCCTCCCACCACCACCAGGCTGTCTCCTGACCTACTGGGCAATTTACGAACTAAACTAGACAGAACCTCAGGAAGCCAGGTGGAATCATTCTGAGCCATTTTGGGAGTGAGTTCCATATACCATAGGCCTAGGATGGGGAATGCTCTTACTATACTTGATCAGATAAACTGGAATTAAGAACATGGGGCTTTGTTTTGCATGGGGCTTTTTTTTTTTGCAAAAAATCTAGAAACTGAATGTCGTTTAGGTGAGGAGATCATGAACCACAAACCCTAAACCAGGGACTGTTTTCATGCCAGTGAGCACCAAGTGCTCTGTGATGACAGTTTCAGGCAGGAATACACAGGCCGGCAGCCTCACTCTGGGTTCTCCTGGTACCAACACTTGCCTGTTTGCTGTGCTTGAATTAGAGATCCGGAAGCGAACCTGCTCGATGGCACTTCTCACAAGAGGGTCATTCTGGTCCATGGATGGGTGCACGACCAGATCCACCTGTAGAGAAAGGCAGGGGCACCCCGAAGGGCAGTGCAGAGCTCAGGAAGCTGGAGCTCCAGAAGCAGGTTCCTTAGCGCAATGTCAGCTCTGTCTGTTCTTACTGACATTTGCCAAAGACCACTAGCAGAGGGAAGCAAAATGTCTTGCTTAATAGTTTGCTGTCAAAACTGGTGACATCACAACCTTGACAGAGCGACCAAACCCAGGGCAATCTTCTGCCTTGTAGTTCCCTGGCTGAGCCATCATGGCCTTGTGAGCTCCTCTGCTCCCCGGGTGCTGCCATCCACACCCGCTCCATGATCTGAGAGTCTTCCACTGCTATCCCTGAATCCTGTAGACACCCACCTGTCTGTCCCTCATGGAAGAGTCAGGGGCTTTCCTCCACCTTCCCCAGCTGACTGTATCACTGTCGGGGGATTCCTACCAACCATACTCCTCAACAACCTGGCAAAGGATTCAGAGCTGCTTTTCTCTCTCCCTCCCTGGAAACTAAGGAAGAACCATTCAGGTGGCCCACAGAAGCCTGAGAGGAACAGAGGAAAGTACCGGCAGAGAAAGGAGGCAGGGAGGAGGTGGTGGGACAGCAGGCCACGGACAGGGACAGTGAGGATGGTGGCCTGGCTGGGTCTCTGGAAAGCCAAACATTTTTCTGGCAGGAGACAGCAAAGTAGGATTTCCTGACTGTCAACCATGACCAGCAGCTCTGTGGCAAAAATGGGCTCAGAAAGGTGTGGATACAGAAAACAAGCAGCAATGTCTAACCAGGGACTCTAAAAGGTCTGCTTGGCTCAGTCTCTCCAACTCCCTATCTGTGAAACAGGGACCCCTTTCTATCACCTTTATACTGCAATTTTTTTGTGGCAGTTCAGTGACATTTCAGAGTACTCAACAGCAAAATACAGATAGCAGCATTTATATTTCTCCACCTTCCTCACTCAGTAAATTTCTCAAGGCAAAGTAATCAAGGCAGGACACAGGAGCAAAGGTACATGCCTGGGTTCTGGCCAATAGAAGAGAGCAGGCAATTCAGCCCCAGGTGCCAGAGTAAGCCTTGCCAAGAAAGTAATCTCAACACTAACTCTGAAGCTGGTCAGGAGGTGCACACACAATGCTGCAGCCTCTCCATCTGGAAAAGCAGGTGACTGCAGTGCTACCCTGTGACCTGAGGCTCCCCCTACTACGCACAGGGATTTTGAAATTGTATGAGCCCCGGCTGAGCTGCTGCCCCCATCCCATGGGCTGGTGGAACAGCACCAGAGTGCAGTGGGGGACACAGCAGACCCCAGACCCAGTTCTGTCTCCTCAGTCCAGGGCTCCAGGGAGGATCTGGTGCACTTAGTCTCCACCCCAATGAGGCTGAGAGTCCCAAGAGCAGCTCTTTGATGAGCAACAGAAGTCACGGTAGTTGATGGGCTGGCCTTTTCCTGTTCAGTACCAGGTCTCACTCAATGGGATGAGTGATAGGCTGGTTGGGAACAGAAGTGTGGGGTCAAGGGAAAATTTATTGTTCTACTTTAAAAAGACTTAACACAGATATAAAAGCAGGTGAGCACTGTCAACATGCAATAGAAGACACTGTATTTAAGTCACTTACTATACTGCTTGTATTTTACAAATTTCTCAAACCCTAACATAAAGCGAGAAAGCAGAAATGACCACTTACTAAGAAAACAAAGTATCACAGGAGAGCTCTCTTAAAGGCAGAGGTGGAAAATATCATCAGGAGAAAATTAGGAAATTAACTGATTGTCCCACTGCAGCATTCCCTTGTGCCTCTGCCCAGCCACTCCTTTGCAAATTACTCTGGAAGATATATATCACAGAATTTGTGCAAAGCTGATGAGCTACAGTTGTTATGGGAATGGCCACAAGGTATAAATTTTACAGAAACAGGTAAGTGAAGGCACGAGAGACAGAGCTTTCCCTGCTGGGAAACCCCAGCAGTACAACATGAGAAGCTACCATTTTTCCTGAAATGGGCTCCCTCCCATCTCCACAGAAAATACTCTTGCTGCTTAGTCTAAATGTTATTTAATTTCTCCTAAACTTCAGCAAGCTCCACCTTCCCTTCCCTTTCCCCAGCAGGACTGGATACTTGCCTCAGGCTGATCTGCTGCTCTGGGATCCCAGCAAGTTACTGTTCTGTTTCAGGCATCCCCATAAAGCTGGGGGAACTCCTGCTTCCCAAATAGGGAGGCACAACAGAACATTTAGAGTCACTGATAACAAAGGAATAAAGGAGCTACAGCAATGACAAGGGGAGCCGACAGAGAAATCTCCCACAGGAAGAGGAGCGTGGAGGGAGTTACCTTCTTTTTGATGCCATCCTGAATAACTGTGGTGCGATACAGCCTCAAGAGGCCTTCCTCAGACAAGTTCCGCACCAGGCGGATAATGGACTTCTTACAGCACTTGGTAGACACGCCCTCCTGCTTCTCCTGATCCATGATCATCTTCTGAATCCTGTGACATCACGAAACAAGCATCTTATACTCCCCATCTTACCATGGAAGGCCTTTCTCAACAAGGCCACGGAGACATGGTGAATGTCATCAACCAGAAATGAGGAAGGAGTTAAAGGGCCTTCACACACACTGGAAGGCTGACTCGTGGAATACTAAGGGTCACCCTTCTATGGTAAGTGGGTGAGTTGGCTAGACACCTGCCAGCAGCTCCAGCAGCTCCAGATGCTGAGCCTCTCACCAGGAGGCCAAATAGCCATATGACCTGTGACCATGGTGACAGAGACAAGGCGTGCCATAATGGTGACCTGTCTTTACCAAGCCTACATGCTAAATGAACATTCAGCTAAGGAAGGTTCTAGTCACCACTACACTCTCACACCTAAAGCTCCCTATGATTCTCGATATATAGTATCTCACTCTAGATCTTACCTAGTCCCTATGGTGTCATTTCTAGATCACTGATCATAGACTGGCAGGACCAAAAGGGACATTCAGAATCCAAAACCAAGCCTCTTAATGCACTGAAGAGGGCACCAAGGTGACAACCTATATGCAGATGGACTCTGCCCCCAACATAGCCCTCGTCAGTGTAAAGAACCCACGTTCTAGGCCAGAGTCAAGGCTCCTTCTCAACAAGTGGCATTCAAACTGGCTGCCTCAGAGGCCTTGATGATGACACCCAGGGGGTCGCAGCAGTGAGGGTTATAAGAACCAAAGCAGACCTTAGGACCCCTGCTCTACCCCTTATTCTTTCATCCACGATTTCATGTGAACAGAAGGCCCCAAGGTGAGCTACAGAGCAAGCCACCTGCTTGAGGTTCATTTTCCTTTCCAACAACAAGGTAAGAAAAGACAGACGCGGTCTCTGGTGACTTCTCTTTCTTGGTCAGCCATTTTCTCTGTCACATACACAGATATTACTCAACGTCTATACTTCTAAACAATGCGAACACACTCTAAAAGCCACTTGCCCCTTTTTGTGGCAGGTGGTGACTACCAGAAGGAAGAATGACACATGGGCAGGTGTGCACCACTTACGTGAACAGGCTCTCAATCAGGCGAAGATTGGTGACAGCTTCTATGATCAGATTTCGGCGTTTCAGCAGTCGGTAAGTCTTGTGGGGCTTGTCCTGGCCTGCACCATGCTTCCCACCCTTCTGGGAGCTGCCACACTCCTAGAGGATGACATGAAGGGCTTGGGACGGCTGCAGATGCCACACCTGCAGGGCATTCTTCCATCTCCTGACCCCTGCACAGGACCCCACCACGCTCCCCTTTCAATGCTGACACGTGACAGAATGCGCCAGCAGAGTCCTGGACAGCTGGCTTCGGAACACAGTCTCCCCCAACACACAGCAGCCCCACCATGCTCCCATGACTCCTCTGCAGGGGTGGAAGAGGCAGTCATCCTCACTGAGGTCTCTAACACGCTCCACAGTCAAAACAACAGTCTCATTACTGCTCTCATCTCACAAAGGGGAACCCAGGGCTTGGAGGGTAGGGACCCATCCAGGCTCCTGCGGGACAGGCTTTCTGACTCCAAATTGAGGACCCCTGAGAAATCTATAGGCAACCAGTTGACAAGGGCAGACAGAAGCTCTAAAGTTCCCTGAGTGAAATACAATGACTGGGAAGGAAAGACAGAAGGGAGAAGGGGAGGGGTGCTATGTTTGCTTGCTTGCTTTTTCTTTTCTTTCTTTGTTTCCTTTGTACTGGGAGTTGAACTCAGGACTTCACATTTGCCAGGCAGGCACTGTGACACTGAGCTAAATCCCCAGCCCTTCCTCTTTTAAAGGAAAGGCCCATGTCACTGTTTCTGTCTTTCACGAGCTTAATGTAAACTTGTATCATCTGCCTCTGGCTCGTTAAAGTCCAAATGTGAATCCTGACCGGGAAAGCAATCTGAACTCCAAAGCATTCCTTGAAAAGCACTAGCATAAATCAGCTCCTCAGAGCGGCCAGGGAAGGTTTGGCCAGTCACCTCCTTGCTTAGAGTAGCACTGCAGGACTGAGACCAAGTCAAGAAGGTAGTGTGCAGGTGCCGGTCCAGCTCACATCCCACCCACTGTGGGCCTCCGGGCGAGGGACAGATCTTTTGCAAGAAGGAAGGGATGGGAGAAGATTCTATAAAGCAGGAGACACCTATGAGTAAAGTGGCCGCTTTCCTGACCGCCAGGGGCCTCCAAGGAGTAGCAGAGGCTGCCCTTCTCGAAAGCTGCAAACAAGGGAAGGGACACAAAGCTGCCATCACGCTGAGGGTGGATTTCTATCAGAAAGAGAAAGCTGAACAATGACAGAGCTCCAGGAATTCTAAGCCCTGAAGGCAACACATGCTGGGAGAGACAGGCAGGGAAGAATCCAATGGCCCAGCAGGGGTCCAGTGCTGGCAGTCTAGATGTAACACAAACCATGCCCCGACAGCTAGAAGGTGTTAACATGCTGGAAAGGACTCAAAGGGAACAGAAACATCTGCCCTGGGCCCTGCCCCTTCTGCTGCAGAGACATAACTAAAGCCAGGCCCTGCAGCAGGAAGGGAGAAGCACGGGAAGCTAAGGACGGCCACTAACTCCACAGGCAGATTATTGATCCTGGGGGCCTGGCTTCTCTGCTCAGGACCACAGCAGGTGTTCAGCTTCCAGGGATGTGAAGCCTGGATCAAAGAGCAATGAGAGCATCAAAAGCTGCCCAATCACAAGGCTATGCCATGCCAGCTACCTTTGCTGTTTGCCACATCCTGGCAGTATCTGAAGCACTTTTAGGTGGCAAAGGACATGGCACTAGGCAAACTGAAACACATAATGAGAAGGGAATTTCTGCATCAGCTGTCTTTTAATCCTTCTAATTATACTGATGGAAATGTATTCTTTCATTTGACCCTGCTGTGTCATTTCATTTGACCCTACCCTTCCCTGACATATGCCAGTATTTGGTTAGAATGTACTAACAGAGTTTTGGGCTTTTTCTATTTTATGTCTACCTCATTTTTATTGCCTTGCATTTAAAGCAGGGTTTTTCAGCCTTGGCAGTGTTGACTTTCTAAACTGGACGGTTCACTGTTGTGAGACTTAACACCATCCTGGGTGGGGCTGGGGATGGCACTTGCCTAGCGCACATGAAGCCCTGGGTTTAATCCCCAGCAACATGAGAAAAAAGAAAATTGTGTGGCTGAATTCAGTGGTGCATGCCTATAATCCCAACTACTCAGGAAGCTGAGGCAAAATGATATTTTGAGCCTAAGAGTTTGAGGCCAGCCTGGGAAACAGAGTGAGAACTTGTCTCAAAACACCAACCAGAATCAGAACCTTGGCTTCTGCCTACTCCATGTTAGCAGACCCCTCTCCTAAGTTGTGACAATCAAGACTATCTCCAGACATGTCCTCTAGGGAACAATACCAGCCTAGATGATCCAAATACAAATTCTGCCTCTGAAAAGTATTTACCGCATCTGTAAAGAGCAAGCCATTGGAAATCAAGGCTCTAGGGCAATAATGCAGGGAATTTCCACGTAGAGCACAGGCACCATGAAGGAGGCAGGTGAACAAGAGCCACCTCTCCTTAGGGAGCCCAGCCACTGCCGGGACAGAGCAGGCACTAAGCATTTGACACTCTCATCGCTGACTCTGGCGCTGTTCTTGTGATCCACAAGCACAAAGAGAAGGGCCCTTCTTGGAGACCAGGCCTTCTCTCCCCACCACTGACCTTGTCAAGCCGGACCTCCTCAATCATGGCTATGTCACCACTGGTACTCTCCATGCAGTGGGAGCCGAAGGACACGTTGAGCTCGGAGGAGCCGCTGGTGTCCAGGTGGTCCCTGCCCCCAGAGCTACGAGAGGCTCGTTCCTCAGCAGCCCCGGGGGAGGAAGGTGGCTGCTTCCTCAAGGGGTGAAGGTTGACAAGTTTCCACCCACCTGTGGGGAGGGCAGAAGCAGAGTAAGCAGAGGGGAGGAAGAAGGCTTCGGTTCCTGGAGCCCACCAGCCACAGCAGCCGAGGGCCTGCTTAGAATCCTTGACATACCGGGCCCTTGGCCTGGCCAACAGCTCAGGCCCCTTCTCTTGAAAGGCTGGACACCACCAGTCCCACCCTCAATGGTGTTTTTTTTTTTAATATTCTATAATTAATTTAAAAGCCTGGGGATTTCTGAGTTGGCACTGGGGGGAAGAGGTCAGAGGAAGCTGATGGAATGTTATCCCTATAGTAGTTAAAAAATGGAATGAAACGCATGCCAGGAACGGCTCTGCACATAGTCAGCAGACAGATCACATGACTGTCCCCCACAACCCTATGATTATGGGATACAAATGGCTCCAAGCTGGGCAACACCATTTGTCTCCCGCTCCACCTCTGCTTCTTACCCTTGGTCGGGGTGGAATGATGAGGCTGAGAGCCAGGCCCGAATTCCGAGGAGGACCTCACGTGGCGCTGGGCTCCTCTGGCTCTGCGCTTGCCTGGGGTGCCCTCCTCCTCGCTGTCTGACTCTGAGAGAAAAGTATCCTCGCCTTCGGGCAGCAGTGGCTCCTCGGACATGGAGGCCAGGCTCACAGTGGTCAGCAGCTCGCCCCGGGCCTTCTCCCGGGCGTACTGCCGGCTCAAGTCGCTCTCCTCGGCAAATACACATGAGATGTACTTGGTAGTCCGCTGTCGACCTTCGTCCTCCATGAACCCCTGCGGGTTAAATGGATTTAGCACACTCAAAAGGGGTGTCATGCCCACGGGCACACCAGGACCTGATTCTTGCCTAGCTGAGTCTCCTGTCTCACGCCTGGGCCCCTCCTGAGCCTTCTATCTAAGCATCTCAGGACCTGCTTCCACCAGTGGCCAGAGGGCTTTCTAAGGTGCAATCCTGTGTCCACCCTCTGACACGCTGAGCTCCCCGAGGCCAGGACCCTCATTCATGCTTCCAAGTCGCCACCATACTTGGCACAGGACTTGGCTTATAAAACACGGTCAACAAGCAGTGTGTGTCTGTTGCACACCAGAGCCAGGACCCACAGCACCAGCTCCCCTCAGCCACTGCCAGCCCACACTTGTTTTATCTTCTAAGACAGAGGAAGGGCTCTTCCTAGAGACTTGGAGAATAGAAAGAGTAACACCTTCTATGTACTCACCCCCCAGGACAGGGAGCTGCGGAAGTTCTTAGCTGTCATTAGCTCAACTGTTATCCTGCCTTCTAGCAAAATGTCCCAAAGGCAGGCAAGAAGAGTCAAGCCCTGCTATGGTTTGGATGAGTGCCCCAACAGGTTCTGGCGCCTGGGTGGGAGACTGCAGAACCTATAGGCAGTAGAACCTAAAGGGAGGTCCAGGCCACTGGGGACGTGCCCTCAAAGTGGGTTAGGGGGCCCAGTCATTTTCTCCTCTATGCAGTTACATTGCCATGTGCCCCCACTATGATGTGTGTGTAACTTGGCCAAAGGCCTAAAGAAATGGGGCTACTTGATCTTTAAGGTTTTCTGAAACTTTCACAACTATGAGCTAGAATAAACCTTTCCTCTTTAAAAGCCAACCACCTCGGGTATTTCATTATAGTTATGTAATGCTGACTAATACAAGCATCCAGGTGCTGAGAGGCCAGGCTAAATGACAAAAGGAGAGCACTGGACAGGCACAGTTAGATGACAGAGATGCCCCCTCGTCCCAGACCAGTCACATAAAAGAGAGAGGGCAGGTGGACAGACACTAGCCAGCGCTGGCTGCCTGTCCCTGCAGAGAAGTGAGCTCCTAGTGGCCCTGCTTCCTGCTGTGACTCTTCTATGCCGACAACTTCTTCAGTTTTTTACAAATGGAAACAAACAAAAGCCTTAGTGAGGGGGAGACATGATGTGATGGCCTTTGCCACCTGGACACAGATGGTAGGGCTTTTAGTTTTCTTGACTGACTGAAATGCGGCTTCATAATCACAACATGCACATCCAAAGAAGGGAACTTCAAGGATGAAGCGTTACCTTGACAACCTTGAACCTCTGAAGAAGCCGACACAGCATTCTGGCTTCCAGCTTTCCCACATTCATGGCCACTCGAATTTCAGCTTGGGAAATTCCTTTCGTGCCTCTGCGCTCAACTGTAAGAAACACTCCTGTGAGCCCCAGCCTCTGCACGGGACAGTGCTGCACAGGCACAGGCTAAGGGCAGTGCCCACAACCACCAGCACAGTAAAGTACAGGCTGTGGCTGTCTCTTTCCCTCCAAAGAATTCATTCCTCCCAAGACTCGGAATAATATTATACAGATAAGAACACTAGCAGTCATTTCAGGGGAATTCTTGCTGTCTGGCTCCTCCACATTAGAACATTAAAGGTAAAGCAATTAAAGGTAAATCTGTTGAGTTCTACGAACACCATCTTTACTTGGGAAATTACCATTTTCTCATGAATGAACTTTTTCAGATAAACAAGTGACTCCTTTAAGAAGCACCAGAGGGACTGGGGATATAGCTCAGTGGCTTAAGTGCCTGCCTGGCAAGCACAACATCATGAGTTCGATCCGTGGTACCAATAAAATAAAATAAAATAATAAAAAAACAAAAAGCATCAGGGTAATTTTTTAAAATAATTTTTCCAGTACTAAGATTTGCATCTAGGACCTTCATACTGAGCTACATTCCAGTCCCTCACCCCTTTTCTTTATTGAGAAAATGTAAAGTGCTAAATTGCCCAGGCTGGGTTCAAACTTGCAATCTTCCTGTCTTGGCTTCCTAGAGTGCTGGGATTAAAGGTATCCGCCCCCATATCTAGGTCTGAGAACGTCTTTTAATGTGTGTGCTTAATGTTGCTGTCTTTCTTAGTTGACACAGAGGTCCTGTGGACTTCAGTCGCCGAGCAGGCAGGGACAGGAAGGAAACAGCACCATTGAGCCTGTCGGTGAAAGCCTTGCCAATGACGGCCCTGTAATTTGCACTGTGCAGCCTGTCAGCTCCTGTTCAGCTCCTGCCAGCTGCTGTTTCTCAGTGTTGTTATTGCATCTGTCGAGAACAGGCCCTTTTCAATTAGTTCCTCTATTCTGGGACTGAGACCTATCGGAAGGAGCCTGGCTGCGGGTGGCAGGCAGGCAGGGCGTCCCGCAAAGTACATGAACTGCGGGGCAGATGTGGTAGCAGAGTTCTTTGATGCTTCAGAAATGATTTCTTTGGATTTTCTGATACATCTACATAGATGAGGCTGCGAGAAAAAATCAATCAGGATAAAGATGTTGCTGTATCAATACATGTATAAAAATAAATGGCAGAATACAAAGGGATGACTGGGACAGTTCCTAGACTGACCCAGCAACGCGCTAAAAGCAGAGATGAAAGGATTAGGAGTAAGCTGTTCCCAAACTGTGTTCTGAGGACCCCAACACATCAGAACTGTCAAAACTGTCAAACAGTTCTCTAAACTGCGGACCAGCCAGTGGGATTATTAGAGTCCTGTGACTTCACCTTCTGCTCTGTCCTCCCGGAAGGGACCTGGGACCACACCACCCATGGCACCAGTGCACAGCTGTCTTGCACAGATTTTGGGAGTCTAGGGGAGGGTAAGGAATGGGAGGAACAGTTTTCTCACCTCTTCACCACCAGTTTACCCAGTCCATGGTGACTCCTGAACTACCTAGAAGGGAGGGATGGCTTGCAAACCTTCATGCTGTGGCTTAAGTGCTCAACAGAGCAGTACTGTGGGGCCCAGCAGGAGGCATATGGAATCTGGGTGTGGCGCCCTCCTGAACAGATGAATGCCTTCCTATTGGAGTGATTTCTTGCTCTCATGGGATTTCTGTCAGTTACAAAGAGAACAGGAGGCTGTGCTAAAAGCAAGGTTACCCTTCCTGTTCTGCCTCTTCCACAGACCCCCTGTCCTCCTGTTCTTCTTCCACACACACAGCACAAAACCTACATCAGAAGTGGGAAGATACCAGCACCCAACCTGAATTCCCCAGCTTCTTGACCTGTAAGTCAAAGTAAATTCTTCTTTATAAGTTACCCAGTCTCAGGTACTTTGTTACAGCACCAGGAAATGGACTAAGACAATTAGCTACTTCTGTATATGTGCTTTCAATGTACTAGGCAAAGTTCTACACTTTTTATCCTATGTCATTTATCCTCCAAATGTGCTAATGTGGGTATTGGCCCCATATGATAGTTAATTTTAGATATCAGCTTGGCTGGATTAAGAGATACCAAGATAACTGCTCAAGTGTCACTTGTAGACATGTTTGTGAGGTCATTTCTGGAGAATCCTGGGCTGTGAGTTGCTCGGCTGCATGCATCCCTTTGCTGTCAACGTGGGTAGGTACAACTTAATTGGCTAGAACCAATGAGAACAACGGCAAGGAAAAGTACACCCTTCCTTCTTCTCTGCTCTGGGACCTCAGAACCTACACCGTCTCTGGTTTCCAGCTTGTACAGGTCTAGGGTAAGACTTTTCAACCTCCATTAGCCCATGAAACAATTCTACTAATAAATTTCCTCTTATCTGTTTTCTTACACAGCTACTGGTACTGTTTCTCTGAAGAAGCCTGATAATACATCCTATTTTACAGACCTTGCTAAAGTCACACAGAAGAGGGGCAAACGGCTTCACGCTGGAAACTGAGCTCACAGCCTGAACCTCAAAGGACCACGCTGCTGCCTGCTGTGGGACATACTTAGCAGCAGAGCACTGCTTCCCTGCAGCACACCCCACTCGGCCCAAGCAGGACTCAAAAGTCACGTCTAACCCAGGACTCACTGAGGTCGTAGGTCTGCGTGAGCATGTCCCGCTCAAACACGATGTCCACTGGAGGCACTCCCTTGGAGATGACTTCCTCGTCATCGTCATCATCGTGGTCATCTTCAACCTTCTTCTTGAACTCTTTCAGCAGCTTGAGGCACCGGACCATGACATCAGTCCCTGGGAACATGAGCACACGTTTGCCAGTAGTGAATGGAAGCAGAGGCCAGAAGCTCACAGCAGACGCCCAGACACAGGAGTCCAAGAAAGGTCATCCTGTCAGAGTGTTTGCAAAGTTCAAAACTGTGTGTCTTAGGGCACTAGATCAGGAAATTTATTCCATTGAATTACTTCTCATTGTGAACAGAATAGAATATGAGTGAATAAAGAACTGTAAACAAAAGGAACCCTGAAGTGCCCTTTTAGTCCTGCTAACTAAACAGTCAGCGGCCTTCTGTGCTAGGCTTGCTCTGCCACAAGGGTCACCCATCCCTTCACATTGTCTCTCAGTAACCCGACAGAGCCACATGCAGGAGAGGTGAGCAGTGTTTGCTAGAAGAATGAAAAGCAGCTGGATGTGGGTGTATGCCTGTAATCGAAGCAGTCAGGAGGCTGAGGTTGGAGGATCACGATGAGTTCGAGGTCAGCCTGGGCTACAGACTGAGTTCAAGGACAGCCTGAACTGCACAGCAAGACTCTGACTCAAAAAAAAAAAAAAAAAAAAAAAACAGAATGAAAAGTAACTTTTGTCATATCTGCTAGTACCATACCCACTGCTAATGCCTTGGGGTGTGGCAGCAGTGTAAACGAGTTCTAATGGCTTTGGGAGCATGCTGAGAGGCTATGACAGTGACTCTAAAAGTGTAAGCATTTAGATTGTGAAAATAATTCAAAAAGAGGCAAAGGCCGCAACTGATAGGTCTAGTACACCACCCTTTATAGCGCTAATGAATAATATAAAAAATGAGGACTGGGGGTGTTGCTATGTGGCAGACCACTTGCCTAGCATGTGAAGCCCTGGGTTCTGTCCCCAACCATCGGAACAAGAGCAGCAAGTAGGGACTCCGTGGTAGTTTACCAAGAAGCCAACACGCTCTTGACAGACCAGCATCCGTCTTCAGATAATCACAGCAGCAACATTACAACTTACCAAAGAACAACACTGGAAAAAAATTACACACACATGCTTGTGGAGAAGGACAAGCAAAGTACAGGGAAAAATAAAAACGCCCTGACAATTGATATGTGTTGACTCACTGGGATCCAAGCAGGCACTTCACAGATGAAGGAACTGATAGGAAGAGGGGTTAAATCACTCCCAATAGCTTGTTGTGACCAAGGCAAAGCTGCTCAGAAAGGGGCAGGCTAAGGTGTCCTGTGCCCTGAAACAGAACTGGAGGCAGAGTAACGGCCTCTCAAAGAGGCCTTCATCTTAATCCCTACAACTGCGAATATGGTGCCTCACAAGAGCTTTGCAGACATTATTAAATTCAGGACTTGCAGGGCTTGCTTGCTGTGGTTAAGGGTACTGCGCTGAGGAGACTGTTTTGGATTAACAGGGCAACCTGATGCAGTAAGTAGCATGGAGTCCTTGTAAGAGGGAGGCAGGAGGGCCAGAGACAGCTTGAAGATGGGGAGCACCATAAGCCAAGGAATGTGAGTGGTTTCTGGAAATTGCAAAAGGCCAGGGAACAGATTACCCCTATAGCCTCCAAAAGGAACATATGTCAGGAGACACCTTGATTTTGGCCCAATAAAACTCATTTCAGATAATAACTTACTTTGTTTTAAGACACTAAGTTTGTAGTTACTTGTTAATGTGTAATAACGAATGGTTATATACGAGCTTGGCCAGCAGTTGGATGTGCAGAATCCTTGGGTACCACAGCAAGAGGTAGGGTGCTAAAGTTGGTCCCTGTAATCTCCCTGCCTGTGACATACAAAATACCCTCTCCAGAGAACAGAAACACAAGCCCTTCTTGGGCAGAGGATTTTCAAAACATAGAACCTACAGATGAAGGTCACAAACAATAAAACATCTCAGGGCACTGAACTCATCAAGGCTTTCTCAGGGGAGACTAGCTGGGAGGATGTCTGAGCCAAAAGGTCTACAGAATGACAAGTAGCCTCAGTGGCCCTGGGCACAAGCCTAGCACCCATGCCCACATTCTTCAGTGACAGGCAAGCTACCCCGGCAGTTTTTCGTTAGCATAAACATAAAGCCCTGGATGGCTGCAGTAGAGACCTTCTGTGGTCTCAGCCCTCTCCTACCATGCTCCTCTCCCAGGATGGGAGACCTGGTCAATAAGGCAGGGATGTAGGGACCCTTTAAGTCCATCGGAGTTGGCAAAGACTGTCTAAAGACTCAGGTTCCGGGGACTGGGTCCCCCATGAGGTTTCCTTGGGGCTCTCCTTCCACCAGCACTTTCAGCAGGGTGGCCAGCAGATCCAGCATGCAGCAAACACAGGCCACGAAGCCATTCTCCACCAGAGCTTCCAGTGTCCTCTAGTCATGCCCCCCAGCACCCCTGCTTGCCCAGCTCCCCTCTCCAAGGTGTTCACAACAGCAACCTATTGGTTCCCACAATACCAGTGTCCCTTACAGATTTACTACATCCTGGATGCTGTCCTAGCTTCCTACACCTGCTTTCCAAGTCAAATCTCACCACGGACTTAGTGGGGACGTGCCAGCACCCTCAGTTCCCTTAGGTGGACGTGAAGAGCTAAGGAACCTGCCCTGTCCCTCTGGTAGGGAAGGGCTAGGTTAGGTTGGTTCCAGAGCCCCTGCCCTGTGTCTTGATTCAAAGATGTCCATGGGACTGACAGCAATGGTGACCAAGTGCTAGGGATGTGGTACAAGACAGCACTTTGGGGACACCAACTCAAGATACACTAAGCCAATGCCCTTAACTCCCTTTAAGGATAATGAGTCAGAGAATGACACACAGCAGCGCTCAAGCACCAATGTGAGATAAGGAGCAATACAAGCTCTTGTGGGCTCAAGGAGCAAAGTGGAGGAATCTTCTCAGCCTCAGAAGCTCCTGGCCTCTCATCAAAGCAGTCTTTTCCCTCATGAGGAGTCCCAGGAAATTTGAAGACATGGCACACTGAGGGCAGCAGTTCACCACAAAGGAATCACCAGACCTCCAGTGTAGGGAGATTCAGGGTGGCAGAATTTAGGCACTCTGTGGACCCAGAAAGGAAGGAGGATGGGGTGACTCCCTACTGAGCACCTGCTGAACCAGGCCTCAGGGTGGCTGCTTTCAGAAACTCTTTTCTTTCCTCGTCACATGACCCTACAAGCCGGTGCAGTATCGCCTTTTAAGGAAAAAGGAAACTAGCCAGGTACAGCAGTGCATGCCTGCCTGTAATCCCAGCTACTTGGGAGGCTAAGCCAGTAGGATCACATGTTAAAGGCCAGCCTGGGCAACTGGCTGGGCAACTCAGTAAGATCCTGTCTCAAAATAAAGTACAATATTCTGAAAAAGGGATGGAGATGCAGCACAGTGGTAGGGTGCCTGTGGGTTCAATCCCTAGTCCCAATAAATGGGGGTGGGGGGGAGACACGCAGGGGAGGGACGAGAGGAAAAAGGAAGAGAAAAGAAAGAGGAAACAGGCTCAGTGGGTTGTGTATGTTTAACTGCTATCTCCCATACCAGGCCACTTGGCTGGGTTAGAATTTGAAACTCTTATCAGAAAGCACCACTCACTGTAAGAAAGGCCATGCTGTGGAAACAATGGCCTGTGTTTCCCATACTCCCACAGAAAACTTTGATCTAGCTGCCTAGCAAAGTGGTACAATCAGCTGCGATTAACCTACAGAAGTACAAAAGTAAGACAGGAACAAAGGAGCACAGGGTCAGATCTCTTCTCTGTAGGTCAGCAGCAGAGGGACAGAGCTGCTAGTGAGCCAGGTGGCCAGTACCTACTTCCCACCACACATGCGCGCACACACACACACACACACACACACACACACACACACACACACACACTTCTGAGCCCTGAACAGAAGACAGGTAGGTGGTCAGTGCCAGAGTCATCTGGAGTCAAAGCAAGCCTCCCGGGGAAAACCTGGAGGAGGTATCTACAGAGAAGCCCAAGCAGAGGCTGCTGGTACAGGTTAAAAACATGGGTTCCAGAGCCAGCCTGTCTGGTGCGAATGTGCTTCTGCCTGATATCACCTGGCTAAGAGGTACATCTTCTTTGTGACCCAGTTTCCTCAGCTATGAAATGGGGACAAGAAGAACATCTTCCCATGCAGCACTCCAGGCAATGTCTGGCATATGCATAGTGCTCAATAAATGCCTGTCCCTGCTTTTGTCTTTACTATTATAACTACAACATAGGAAAAATGCAACTTTAGAGGGTCAAATGTCATACTCAGTCACCTGGTCTGAAAATGTCACAAGATTGTTTGAGGTCCTTAATCCAACTTGATTCCATAAACATTTATTTTGTACTAGGTCCAGAAGAAACAGATAAATGAGACAGGATTTGTCTCCCTGCAGAAAGCTGTGAGGGAGAGGCTGGGCAGAGGAGCCTGGTTGAGTTCTGGCCCCTCCACCAGGAAGTGACTTCCTCTCTGGGCCTCAAATTCTTCATTGACAACAACAGTCTAATGCTAAGTATATCTACCATGTGTGCTGATAGTAAGAACTAGATGAGTAAATACATGTAAGGTGCTTGGCCTCCTCCCAGAGCTCAGTTCATGCTTTCCGGCTAGCTGACAGCTGGACAGCTGTGCACCTTAAAAAATCGCTACAAAGGCCTCCTGGCTCTGCGTCTAGCTTGCACAAGAGTTAAAAATGCAACAGGCAACCTGGGACCAGGCAGCAAGAAGTAGAGGAGTGATATGTGGTGGGACATTGAAGAATGTGCAGGATAGTCACATCAGGCAGAAGAGAACAGACATTAGAGGCAGAAGGAACAGCATCAGCAAAATCACAGTGAAAAACTACAAGCATGTTGCTGGAGGGGGAGGGGCAGGAAGGAGGGAACGAGTGGGCGGTAAGGCAGCCTGGACCAGGGCTGCGCATCCTGCTGAAAGGGTTTATTTTTTGTCGTGCAGGCATGATGCTTGAGACAGGTACTCCAAGCTATTTCTGTGGTGAATATGAAGCAGCTTGGAGGGAAAGAGGCCTGCCAGGAGGTCCAAGCCTGAAGGTGCTGGGCCTAGG